GCCTTCATCTCTCATCCTGCAGTGGTTCGAACTTCTTACGGTCTACTTTCATGAGCCTAGGGGCAAACCTTCAAGACATCATGGTCAAGGAGTGTGAATTCAACCGTGAAATTCTTGGTATTGTTGAATCTTCCGCATGCCTCCGGCAGGTGCGGATTGAAGGTTCTTCGTCCGCTTTACTGCCATTGAGCACGCTTCATCTACCAGAATCCGTTCAACTAGACCTGCAAATACAGCCGGAGGATTTCGAGGCGCTTGATGGCTGGCACCACATTCTGGAATTCTTGCGCAAAAGGCCAATATTTTTGTATCTGGACTGTACAGAAGATCAATGGAACCACTTGGATCACATGGAGCGTCTTTGGCAGGTCATATCGCTGGAAAATGTTACGCTGATAAGGCCGCTTAGCGCTCAAAGAGTGGAAATGAAGTAATAAATGGGGTGGGAAAGCTTAGATATCGCGCATCCTACCGAGGTTACATAGCATAGCTCATGGAATGATGATCGATCATGATTTCAGCAGAGAACCTATGATTCCAAGTAGGCCGTCACTCGCCGTGGTACATGTAAATGTCGTAGTTTGCATATCGATCCTGTAGGATGATGATAATATCTCATTTACAGCATCGCTAAGGTAGCCAGTAAGATGGGCCACTGGAAGCGGGCTTCGCAAGGACTGGCGCAACTCAGGACAGACGAATATTCAGACCGCATCCTATCATCCCATTAGACAAGTGTTCAACTCATGACATCAATTAGGACCATGATAAACTTTGAGCGTGACGGTCATCATCTAGTAACCAGATGATGGACGGTGGCTCGTATTATCTTTTTTATTTAAACATTTACTTTTTGGAGATACAATAATTTAGCGTTGAACAAGGTCGATGTTAATTTGTGTGAGGTTTATATCTATACTGTCAGGAGTATTGCATGGTGCAGTGTTTGCGATTACAAATAGCAAATAAAAACAAGGGAAAGGGCTGGATGACGCCCAGACTGTATAAATAGAGAGACCAGTATTTTACTTTTATGAAGCCCATATAAACTATATCTCACCGTCTGACTCCCTTCATATTGAAAGCGACAGATTTGCTCCTTCAGCAAGAATTATGATACGGAAAGCTTTTACCGGTCCTCTCGAACCCCTGATAGATCGAATTGGACATCTTCATTTTGCCACTCGGGCAATCATAATTGGCGGGCTATGCTTGAGCACAGTGTGCTTGTCTATACGATTATGGATGAAATGGAACACCTGTAGAGAGCTATATGCAGAAGATTGTAAGTCATCTCCTTCACAGAATCGATCATCAAGCTGAATAACTTTGTCACCAGTATTCCTCACAGCCGCTTGGGTATTATGAGAGGTATCGTGCATAGAGTAGACACTAATAAGAATATAGGGTATTTGTTTGGTTACCCAGGCTGTAATATTATGTGTGTGGCACCATAGAAGGGTGAGGGACCCGGCTTTCCTAACCTGACAATATCTTAGATGCCCTCGACCATGCAGGACTAGGAATGCACACATGGAGCTTGACAGAGGATACGTTAAATACATATGGCAAGGTAATCTATCTTTCCTCTCTTAGCCAGCTGCTATGTATGATTATTGATAGCGGCGTTCCTAAAGCTGCTCATGGTGGCGGCTTGTCTATTCGTGACGGGCATATGCCTCGCGAGGCTGAACTACCTAATTTTCTTTCATCGGTTGATGCGAGCAAAAATGTGGCTCCGATATTCTACAATCGCAGTCGGCTTATCGATATGCACTGGGTCGTTTGGCATTATATGTTGTTTTATTTTCGCATGCAAACCCATTGCGAAGTCTTGGGATGTGACTCTGGAAGGCGTCTGTATTGACCGGCCTGCCATATTTGTGGCAGTCGCTGTTTTGAATATCGCCTCCGACCTGAGCTTCCTCGTTCTGCCGTTGCCAATCATCTCAGATTTACATTTGCCCAGGCTACAAAAGCTAAAGCTTATTATTGGTATTATTATAGTATGCATGTGAGTAACCTCCTGATGTGCGAAACGGCATTAAGCCTTTCTGACTTAAACAAAGCACCTTTATCGCGACAGCCATACGACTCAGGCTTACTATACCTTTATTGGGGTCCAAGGATCTGACATATGATATCGCTCCTATTGTGCTCCTGGTGTGAGTGTCCGTTTCTTAACACCTCCAGTCTATTAGAATGCAAAAGAATCTGACGGAAGACACGAAAATCAGGGGCGTGGAGGCCAACCTAGTGATAATCTCGGCGAGTCTCCCGGCAGTACAGCAATTTCTTTTATTATGTTTTGCCTATCTAAAATCAACAAACTACGGAGTGGCCATACGACGGAGGGTGTCGGAAGGATTTCACCGGCGCAGGAACTTGCCAGAGATACGCACCAGGCTTCCTATACGTGGCATTCGCATCACGTCTGGAGAGTCTTTTAAGCGAGAAGAAACCAGAACTATAAACAGAACTTAAATTGGCGGGCTACATGTCGTTCCTTTGTTTTATCATCTACTTAGTAATTATTACTTGAAGTCGGCGTTTGTGCTATAATTGTGTCTTAAGAGGTCCAGGACAAATAGAAAATTGTACTGCAATCTGTGGGGATCGAGTTGGCACTTCGGGTATGCAGTAGATATCCTCCAAATACGAAATGGGACAGCAAAGTTTACCGATGGAGCAGTAGAATGTAAATTGATCCTCTATATCGGTCGGTTGGTTGACCAATATAATTTTTCGACTCATTGTAATAAGACGATGTGCAAGCTACTCCCAATGATAGCATCTCCATAGACATGCACTCCACCACTTGGAAGCGAAATTTGTGCCTCATAACGTTTACTGTTGCTTATATGTTGTTCTCGTTAGGCAAATGCGGCTTGGTGTGCGACCTCGATACCGCTACGATACCTCCATGAATCCCAGCGCTGCATCACTCTATGTGTGCGTACTCAGCCCTTTCCTTAGAGTAAATACATACCAATACAAGAGCGACGGGTCGAAAGCTTCTTTACCCAGGTAAGACGAGGCGCTAATGATAGGCACTGGACTAGAAAATCGGTCAGAAACGCTTAGTATTCTCTATCTACGAGTCCTGCAGTGGGCTCAGATATGCGGTCGCCCAATGTGGGTCATCTGATGCACTAGCTACATGCAGCCTAGCGCCGCAGCCATACAACCGAGCTCCAACAGCTAATATGCAAGACAGCAAGAGCTATCGGATATAGAGCATGAACATCATGTGTTGTGTAATGATGAGCTGAAAAGTTGTGGGTATCCTATTGCAGTTGAGATAAACAAAAACATACTAGCTTGCCCCTTTGAATGAATTGCTGTCCAGCACAATATGTGGACAATGTTCAGCTAAGTGAGACCAGCATAATTATCAGCGGCGTGCCCCACTTGCGCAGTCATTGAGTGTTCCGTTTAGGTATACCACAGTCCCCAGTAGAATGTTCGCTCCTCACTTCAGACTAAAGCCTAGGCTGGGTCTCCCACCATGCGAGGATCTTCGTTGAGCGTTACAGTAACTGCCTGCCAATTGGAAGGTGCTCGGCCCACGGACACAAAGCCATTTTGCCGGTCATCAAAATGTATTTCGCAGATGATTGGCTGCCGTTTGGGCAGCCTTGAATCTTTCAGCTCAAAAGTACGCGAGATCCCCGAACCGCCGCATTCCATCAATTAGAAGTGGCAACTGGGTTCTTCACGGGATGCCAACGTCAACACAATCAGCCCATATTTGATTGACGAGAGTGAAGTATACTTTCATCTTGATGCAGACTGGGTGCAAATAGCAAAGGATTCGGAATCGCCTATAATCGAGTCGCTTCAGCCCAAATATGATGGTCCCAGCGTGATTCTGAGACACTAGAAGGCACTGAGGGGAGTTTAAGAAATATTTAGACTTGACAAATGTATTACCCTGTCTTCATCCTGGCTGTCCACTGCATATACTGATGCCTCCAAGTCCTTGGAGAAATCTACAGACCCCCCCCCGTGTTCGGAGATCATGCCTGTGAAGGTGTTCACAATCAGTGATACACGATTTATCACGAATCCAATTGGCGCAGTCCTCTCGAACGATAGCCCACCCGACCTTATCCATTGCCAACTTGAAGCCCTGGCCGTACGCTTCCGGAATTTCTACAGAGGCCCAGAGGTTATCTGGTCGCAAGGCTTTGATGCCCAAACCAATTTTCTTGACACATTCCACAGGTGAACTGGAGGCAGTGGCATCACAGCATACAGCAACCTCTCTTGCCGTTTCCGGGGTCTCACTGTCGAAATTATTAGGAAAGGCAGCGGCGACCCCTTGACGGCTCCGAATAGACGGTAGAACAGCATTTACCGAGCGGCAAATATTTGTTCTTCGTGGGGGCTTCTTTGGAAAGCACGAGACCTAACTAGAGTAGGCTACGTGACAAGGGCAACGATACAACTTCCGTGGAAGAAGCGCAGTGTAGGTCAACTTATGCAGGGGGGAACAGTAGGCTGACAACCACTGCGCACCCCCGGTCATTCTTGGGCTGGTCGCCGCCAGACCGAGCCCCGGGAATTTGTTGGTTCGCAGACGCCGTGATGACCGCAATGCAGTTCCTTTTCTCAGGCAAGCGTGGCATGTCGGTGCACAGCCGCATACTATGTTAAACAGAGAGGCGCCGCATTAGTGTACACCCGCCCTTTCTACCTACTCCTGTTGAACACAGTATTTTCGTTAGTCCATTCGACCCCGCGCGCTACGGCGCCTTAGGCCGATACGGCGAGCAGGGATATCGAACATTAGCGCTTCAGCTGGAGCATAATAACAGAATCACTGCGGTCAATCAGAGTAGGCTCTTTCGGGGTTTAGTCCAGCGTCGCACGGGACGAGGGTTGGCGAGTATAAATACCCCTTCAAAGTCCCAGATTATCGCCAGTCTGCATCTCATCTTGACGCATACCCTACGTGTCCAGGGGTCTGTCAGCGCTCTCAGGCCGATATCGCTGTGATGTCTCTCTTTAATATCCTTGACCCCATTCAGATTGAGCACCTATCCCGATCTGCTGCCATCAATTCTACTTCCGTGGAAGTTCAGACTCTGCCCCACGACTACCGTGAAATATCCAGATACCTCGGAGGGTTACCGGCTATGCCATCTCCACTCCCTGGCTCAAGTCCTGGTACGTGGCAGCTGCGCAGTCAACCTAGCATGTATACTGACGCTCCTCAGAGAACCCGATTGACGTTGATACTCCCGGGGACGAAGCGAGCGACACCGTCTCCTGTCATGATTTGCACCACCCCGGTGACAGTGTTGGTACGTTGCTGGACCACCCCTGCCGGGAAGGTGAGCTGACAATGGGCCAGAGAACCCAGTTGATGTCGATGCGGTCCCTGTGGTGACAAGCGATGCAACCGGGATCATTGAAAGGTCATCGCCGAGCCCGACCTCGACCGGGTATATGTCGGATGGTAAGAAATGAGTTGCCCTCAGTGTATCGCATCACTAAGAAAGTACAGACCGGCCCCTGAAAGGACAGTACGTGTGCAAGATATGCTATGATAACGCGGTTGATCTGGTACTAGGCTGTGGCCACGCGTATTGCTATGGTTGCTTTAGCAAATTCTTCCATGACTCCGTTCTTGAGAGAGTGGAAGGATGCCGAAAGCTGGCTTACGAGTATCTTTTCACCCAACTATGCCAGCCGTGTTGCCCTTACTGCAAGAAGGTGCTCCCCGGGCGGTACAATGATCTCGAGGATCGTGATCATCTTAACGACGTCTATGTCCCTCTGCAATGCCCAGATTTGGAGATCAATTGCTTCATCAATGACTACATGGTACAGGGTATCAGGTTGAAAATGCTGTAACCTTCCGATACTGTCTTCCCTAGAGTTTTCTTTTTAGATGCTCCTTTCTATACTGCTCCTTTCTATACAGTAGAAATTGGTTCTTGTGTCATTTACGGACATTAAATTTTGGATTTAGGTACAACAGGCGCTGTTGAGGAACCAACAAACTCCTTGTTCATTTGAGCATACCTGAATTATATACCTGTGCAGCACCATTGTGTTTCTTTACTTGTCCTTAGTCCTGCATCTGAAGGTGGGTATATGGTAGGTGTGGCGTTTTAGGTAGTGAGTCAATCTCCAGCCAAAGCTGGGCCGCTATAACGTACTCGGATAAGGATCCTGTTTACATACGATTTTGGTGAGCATACATCAGGGTTCAGAAAGACTAAATACAATAGGACGCAGACATCAATTTCGCAGACAGACGTAACAAAAAGTAGCTTGGAAATCGCCAATTCATCTCATGACCAGCCCCGAGGCGCTAATGCTTTATGCTTCCCATGGCCATTGTATGTTGCGGATTGCGAGTCATGAACCCTGTTCTTGGCCTCCACTTCAATTTTTTTTCTCCATCGTGGCGTCAACTTCCGGTTGTACTCTTTCCAGAGTCTAGGGAGCAGTCTGACGTCTTCAATGCAGTATTTCATGACGTCTTCGTCAAGTGGGCGAACATTGAATACTTCATAACTGCCTCCACGCTCTGGGGCAAATAAGTCCTTTCCTTTTTGTTTGGTTGCTTTCCAGCGCTGCCGTTCTGCAGCAGTCATTGGAATGTCATTTTCAATACATCTTGCTAACCCGTTAACCAGTCTCTTCGAAAAAGTCCTGGTGGCAAGCTCCATCAATTGGAGATCTTGAATCCCAGCAAGCTTGATTCCAAAATGGCTGTAGAGGGCGTCTGAGTCATTGCGAACATCAAAGAAGACTTTGGGAATTGAAGGGGACTCCAGAATGTCCCTCAGGGTTGTGCCGTTAACTGATACCTGCGCAAAGGCCCTTTCCTTCAGTGTATGAATATCAACCAAGTGGGTCCGTTTCTGTGGCAGAGTGAAGATTTGAAGGAGGGATATAGTTCCTTGCCGCGAAAGATTAACCCCTTCCAAGTCAACAAACAACGAAGGCGGATCAGCCGGCACCTTCTCCAATAATGCTACCAGTTCAGCTACCTCGGCATCCGTTGATACCAGATTGCATAGAGGACTGTCTTGGATCGTTGTCTTTTTCAACGAAGCCGAAATTTCGAGAATTTCACGCTTATCGGCTTCCAATGCGGAGGGCGGCGAACCATCGGTGGGCTTGATGTCTACCAAGACCTTCGCTTCATTGGTGGATTTGGCATCTGTACCCACTGAAATGTGCGTGAGAAATAGTCACTGCATTATGTGGGAGACTTACAAGGCATTTTCCTGAAATCTGTTTTGGTACAAAAGAAACTGAGATTCGGTTTGAATGATGCAAGAGTAGGTTTATCATTAAGTGAAGATATACTGATGTACCACGTAGATTCGGGGTCTTAGCATGTCTTATGTACCTCCACAAATGAGCGAACAAATGAAGTGGCTCAGCGCAGCCAGCTAGTATGTAACTATTACTCGAACAGAACACACCCCTTGCAAATTCCAGGCTCGTAAATATACAGGATAGATTTGCGGAGAATGTAAGGTAAAGGAGATCAGCGCGAATCTCGCCCAACTAGATTAGCATTAGGAGTTCGAAAATTTACTTACCAACCTAATTATAGTGATTATTATATCGTTCTCGACGAATTTATTCACCGCCGAAGTATTGACCTCAAAATGTTCGTGCAAGTGCTGTGTAGGTTTGGAAAGATATTCTGATTCCCAGAGAACAAACTCCCAATATTCAGTCCCTTGAACCCCTCTTTTTCCATATTCAGGCAGCATACAATCATATTTTTGTGCCCCCTTGCAGAACATACCTCTTCCAGCGACCAAGATATAGCCAAAAAATTTGAACTTTACACTCTTGCGCCTGCCGAGACAAGACGCCCCATTCTCTTGAGTTCATCGCCCGTTATTCCCGACGTATTATAAACCAAAGTATCAAGCTATGCCATACACAGCTTCAACAAAGTAGCTAGAGTACTGCGCTCGTTTTCCCTACCTTCTGATACTATAAGAATTCTTTTGTATCACACTAACCCTATCAACGTGGTCTTTTACAAATATGCGCCGACTAGGTCTAAAATGCGTTCTTCAGCTGTTTGTTTTGCAGCTCTTTTAGACCATCCGTCACGTTCAGAAGCACGAAAAATGCTGGATGGTGGATTCACACCCCGTTATATCGTAAAGATAAATAGCCGACTCGTCAAGATATAAGTGCAGCCGATCTAGGAGCCAATCAGAGGAGACTTTGATCATCTCTACTGCGAGAGGCAGCGATACTTCCAAAAGATTGCTTCTCAGCGATGTGCCCAGTGATAGTACCTGAAGCTGATAGCACACGAAAGTTCTAGAACCCAAAGTTGATATGAATTTAGTGCTTATGTGACTGGCATTTAGCGAATCCAAACACTCAGATTGCAAAGGGAATCTGTAAATGTATGGTCTACGGCAAGATAGAATAAACTCGTAACCTAGAACAAGGAGGCTAATAGCTGTTTATCCCTACGAGAATGCGCAAGTCCAAAGACAAGGAATAGGGTGCGTCTCAGTCAATCCCAGCCCAGCTTCAACACGGTTATTTTGGGTTTATTCTGACCATTTCATACCAAACACACAATATATGTTATGTACAAAGACAACCAATAATGATAAGAAAACGGACATGGTCTTAGTGAACCTCATTCTTCTTTCACTAGTGGAATGAGACAACTTGGAAGCTGCAAATGGCTTTGGCCGCGAGTTAACTCTATGGAAGGGGCTCGACTTTCTGCGGCTGGACGTGTAACAGCTGAAGTGAGCGGGGCAACCTCTCCAAGGTTCATTCTTTAAAAGCCGTATGTCAGGGGTAAATGTAACGAGGCATTCCTGTGCAAGCTAGTCCGTGTTTTGATGGCGGAATGAAGGCCTATAGGAAAATACAACCCATTATGGACGTTTTGCGCAAGCTGGAACAATGAAAGTGGAAGGAGAAGTTGGCGGTCCCGAAGTGCGTTAGCTGACGAAGGCTGTAAGGTAATAGATGTATTGAATGAGGGTCTTGAATGGCCGGCGCCTTGCACAGAGTCTCCGGAAAGCCAAATAGTGGAATCTGAAAATGGTCATATCGTATACAGCAACCTACACCCGCCATGGTGTCCACGAGATAAAGCATCCAGAGAACCCAGCTGTGCTTGAGACGTAAAGCGGAAAGCAAAGTCGTACCGTACGTTTCTGGGGCTGATAATTGGCATGTGTGGCTGCATTCTGCATGGACTGATCAGTTCACTGTAATTCTCGTCGACGCGCTCAGTTCTGAAAGATTTGGCTCATATCTGAACAAAAGTTTGTTTTATTCTGCTATATTTCTATCTGAAGCTGTATATAAAAGTGACCATCCTTCAGTGCGCATTAATGTTATGTGGAATGGAATGCACGGGGTCCAGACTATCGCGAGCTCCTGGAATCATTTATGACATTTTCTTTGTTTGCCATAATAAGTGCTGCCTATTATTCCAGAGAAGTCACTGGTATTGCAGTTACCACAATACCTGCCTGGGGTTAAATCGAGCTGGCCTTTGCAATTAAAGATTTGGCCACTAACAGACGCACAAGATTGCCAAGGATACGTAAGCAAGTATTTCTATTTGAGTTTAAATGCCCTGGAAAGGATTTCTCGTCAGCTGCTTTCTAGTTGACCATAGGTAATCTAGATGGCCCGAGCCAAGTAAATCGGATAATCAAATGTTTTGCTTTCTACTCCTAGATGTGTAGATTATAAAGAGGACAATACATCTACAAGTAATGAGGAAATTCTTCTAATTAGAGAGAGACGAATAGTAATCCGCCGACAATGAGTACTTAAAACTTATGTATTCCTATTAACCGGGCATTTCCTCAAGTTAACCCTGGAGATTCAGGTGCCACATAGTTGTCAGATGGGTTATTCCATTTCACGTAGCCGGTTACAAACTGGTGCAAATGTTTGTATTCTATAGTTTGTCTCGGAAATCCGATAGAAATTACACGTTGGCATGCATGTGTGCTATGCGTTACATTCTGTAAAAGTTGAACTATGAATCCAACAATGTTGGATTCCATAGAATTGACCTAGCGGAATGTTACAGGCACGTATCCTAATAACTCGAAACGAAATTCTTGCAAAGTCTCTGGGAGCAGATTATGGCAGGGTTTCAGTATATTAGATCACAAGTCTCACGCCTAAAAGACCTCTAGAAAACCACTGGCCATTTTCCAGTGACAATGGGTTCCATCAAAACTCCAGATAGTGGACCAGCACCCACCGGTATGTCCCATTCTAACGTTGTGAGCAGTGGATACTGATGCCTTTGCAGATAGGCTTCCAGGGGGCTCCAGTGGGCGTTTAGTTCCTGAGGCCTTGGGTTGCCTTGAGACACATGGGCAGCGGCGTGTGTTGGACACTGTCTCCCAGCTTCGAAAATGTGGTTTGGACAGCGTCTTGTCGTTGCCGCAACTGGTGGTTTGCGGTGATCAGTCGGCGGGTAAGAGCTCGGTACTGGAGGCATTAACTGAGATACCTTTCCCGCGCAAAGACAACCTGTGTACAAGGTATCCGACTGAAATAATACTGCGGCACGGAACGTCAGATTCACTCCAGATTAGAGTGATACCCGACCCCGAACGCTCCCCTGAAGAGCAAGAGTCTATCAAAGCCTTTAGGGAGACCATAACAAGCTTCGATCAACTACCTCAAGTAATGGAAAAAGCAATGGAGCTGATGGGAATCGGGGGAGCGGACGATGATGAGGGCAGCAATGATAATCACCGGCGAGCGTTTGCACGTGATGTGCTCAGTGTTGAGATAGAAGGGCCGAATCGGCCGCAGCTCACGGTGGTTGATTTACCAGGCATAGTACAGTCGCAAACGAAAGACACCACGCAGGCAGACGTCGATATGACGGTGGAGATAACAGAGTCATACATATCTCAACCACGTACAGTCTGCCTAGCCGTCATCTCAGCAACCAACGATTATGCCAATCAACCAATTCTCAACAAGGTTCGCCAGTTCGATCCCAGAGGTGAACGTACACTGGGTATCATCACTAAACCAGATCGGTTGCCACCTGGGTCGGATACGGAAAACCAATTCTTTCGGCTAGCTAAGAATGAAGACATACATTTCGAACTGGGATGGCACGTGTTGAAAAACCGAAGTTTTGAAGAGGCTGAATTCTCAATCCAAGAACGAAATAGCTCTGAAGCGACATATTTTCGGAGGTCAATATTCGGAACGCTTCCTCCCGCGCATGTGGGGATCAGCAGCCTTGTCAACCGCCTAAGCAGATTATTATTTTCGCATGTGCAGCAGGCCCTTCCCAAGCTTCAGGATGAATTAAACGAAGCTTTAGAGGAGAACAGAAACGAAATCTCTGCTATGGGAGAGGCGAGGACAAGTCCCGAAGAATGCAAAATGTTCCTGTCCCGGTTGGGATTGGATTTCTATGAGGTATGCAAAGCTGCGGTCAATGGCCATTATGAAGGGCAATACTTCGTATCCGAAGGCAAAGGGGCTCATATTCAGCGTTTGGCATTGAATCGGCGTCTGCGTGCTGCGATCCAACTTATGAATCAGAAATTTGCTGAGGAAGTCCGCACAAACGGACACAAATACCACATTCACGGAATAGGAGAAGCTACCTCAAGCGCAAAGGAAGCGGATACAGAGCCTCTCGAATCTTCAAAAGATGACGAAGATATGCTCTCTAAAGAAGTTGTGACTAGTCAGAATGGCCGAATTTTTCCGAAAATAAAACTCCCTCAAAAAATGTCACGCCGCAAAGCTATTGCTTGGGTTAACGATGTTGTTATTCGGGCAAGAGGGCGGGAATTACTCGGGAACTTTAATCCTCTTGTGATTGCCGAGCTATTTTGGGAGCAGTCGTCGAAATGGCATCTCTTTGCCGAAACACATATAGACGAGGTATCAGCGGCATGCCAGCGTTTTCTGGAAAGTGTCCTGAAAGACATGGCTCCTCTGGATGTTTTCCACCGGTTATGGCCCACTATCTCGGAAAGGATCAAGGCAAGGCACCGAGGCGCGCTGGAAGAGCTTAACAAAATCCTGAAGGATACTCGAAGCTACGTGATCAATTACAATCATTATTACACCGATACTATCAAGAAACGGCAGGCTGAAAGGAGAAAAAGCCACATGAGCGAATGTATCGAGAAAGCGACACAGTACAAAAAGCTTCCAGGATGCCAGTCGGACCACCATTTCCCAGACATTGACATTGGACATGCCCTAGGTCTCTTTTCGGACCGCATAGATCCCGATATGAACAACCATAGCTCTGAAGAAGTCCTTGACTGTCTTTTCGCAATTTACAAGGTACGTACGTGCTGCTTTACTTTAACTGAAAGCTCACCACGATTGGTATGATAGTTATACCAGAAATTGTTCATTGCGAATGTTGCGACACAAGTTATCGAACGGCATATAGTGCAGGACCTGGAGCTAATATTCTGTCCATTGACTGTTGCAACGTTTTCAGATAATGATGCAGTCGCTCTAGCATCAGAGCCCTCGAGAATTGAGAGACAAAGACAGTTCTTGATTGGTAGAATTGCGAAGCTTGAGCAAGGTCGTGAAATCTTGGGAGAAGTTATGTCAAGCAATATCTGATTACACTGATATAACCCTGACAGCGCAATATCCGCAGTCACATTATCACTGCTGTCATTCTACGTGAATCTGATGTTTCATGCAAGGGTACTGTGGATCCCCTGTTAAAGGAAGTGTTTTTAAGTAGAGGTGACGTTTCCAGGAGTTGAACCGTCATGGTCTAGGATATCGAAATTGCCGAGAGTACTATGAAATTGGGGCTGAAGAGGTTTTTATTTTCTTTTTGTTTACCGTATGGCGTTTTGATGTTCCCACCACCTAAATAGACCTCGACACAACCCGCGGTTTACCCGTTTTGGGTCTCTCACGAAAACCCGCGGGTTGGGTTTTGGGTCTATACTTCGACCCGTGGGTTTTTTTTGGGTACCCGTGGGTTCATAAACAGTGCAAACATAGTATATTATGTACATAAATGGATAAATCATCAGTTGATCATCGCTAAGACCTTCTTAATTAGGTGATTTATACACTTTTATGTATTTTTGGGTTCTTGGCGGTTTACCCATGGGTTACCCAAAAAAACCCACGGGTTGACGGGTAATGGGTATGGGTCCTGACCTTCTACCCGACCCGTGGGTTTGGGTCCTAATCTTGGACCCATGACGGGTTTTGTCGAGGTCTACACCTAAACTGTCACTTGGCCGGCCAGCTTGCGCTGCTTGGACGTGCGTATTTAAAACTTTAAATGAATGGCAATAAATTTGCTATGTATATTCTTTCAATACATTAGCGTGCATCTTACACCGAGGTATGGAGCAAATAATTAGAGTGGCCGTAAATACCTCATTGGAAACAGCAATCGGGATCTGGTCGGCCGGCTCCCAAATTCTTCTCTTCTCGGTCTCTCTCCACCGGTCTTACAAGCACCCGATGATACGTCTGCAAAAGCAGCCCTAACAGTCATCCACAACACAATCACCGCTGCCCTCCAGAATGAATGAAGATCAACAAGCATTATAATACAGGGAGCTGCAATACCAGCCTCACCGTCTCAGACTCACTTCTTTATTATGGACCACACTGCCAAGGCGCTAGCCAGAAAACTGAGTGTGAAAAACATACTTCCAAATAAATTCTATCCGTCTCCCAGGCCCTTCTTTTTCAAAGATACTTGAAAATTTAGTGATTAAGAACACGGAAAATTCTTTGATATTGGTTATCTCCGGAATCCTAAAAAGGAAATCCGACCCGACCGATGTCCTAAGGCGATTATGTTCGACTTGGCCGCTGAACAAGAATGCCTAGCTTCAGGAGGGAGCCATAGGATTTGTCGCCCATTTACAGCTATCCAATCTCCATGTAGAGATATCTGTGGGCCCGTATTGGGTGAACTAGGGATAGGGTTGCCACAGCTGGACTGAATCTTGAACAACCCTAGGTTAGTAACGAGATAGGAGCTATCTTGCGAGAATTTGACCTCCGTGATAAGACCATTAGTGCTCACTATTTCCTCCAGAGCGCCCGTGGCCGGGTCCCAGAGCCGTATTGTCTTATCGAATGAGCCGGACGCCAGCAGCCGGCCATTGGGTGAGAATGCCACGGACTGAACCCAACCTCTATGGCTCTTAAGTGCGAGTGTCTGCTGCAGGGCGCCCGTGGCCGGATCCCAGAGCCGTATTGTCTTATCGAATGAGCCGGACGCCAGCAGCCGGCCATTGGGTGAGAAGGCCACGGACCAAACGAAACCTGTATGGCCCTCGAGTGTCTGCTGCAGAGCGCCCGTGGCTGGGTCCCAGAGCCGTATTGTCTCATCGATTGAGCCGGACGCCAGCAGCCGGCCATTGGGTGAGAAGGCCACGGACTGAACCGGACCTGTATGGCCCTCGAGTGTCTGCTGCAGAGCGCCCGTGGCTGGGTCCCAGAGCTGTATTGTCTTATCGTCTGAGCCGGACGCCAGCAGCCGGCCATCGGGCGAGAAGGCCACGGACTGAACCGGACCTATATGGCCCTCGGGTGCGGGTGTCTGCTGCAGGGCGACCGTGGCTGGGTCCCAGAACCGTATTGTCTTATCGAATGAGCCGGACGCTAGCAGCCGGCCATCGGGCGAGAAGGCCACGGACTGAACCGGACCTATATGGCCCTCGAGTGTCTGCTGCAGAGCGCCCGTGGCTGGGTCCCAGAGCCGTATTGCCTTATCTTTTGAGCCGGACGCCAGCAGCCGGCCATTGGGTGAGAAGGCCACGGACTGAACCAGACCTGTATGGCCCTTGAGTGTCTGCTGCAGAGCGCCCGTGGCCGGGTCACAGAGCCCTATTGTCTTATCGTCTGAGCCGGACGCCAGCAGCCGGCCATCGGGTGAGAAGTGAACCGGGCCTATATAGCCCTTGATTGTCTGCTGCAGGGCGCCCGTGGCCGGGTCCCAGAGCCGTATTATCTCATCGAATGAGCCGGACGCCAGCAGCCAGCCATCGGGTGAGAAGGCCACGGACCGAACCCAACCTGTATGGTCCTCGGGTGCGAGTGTCTGCTGCAGGGCGCCCGTGGCTGGGTCCCAGAACCGTATTGTCTCATCGAATGAGCCGGACGCTAGCAGCCGGCCATCGGGCGAGAAGGCCACGGAATCAACAGGACTTCTATGGCCCTCGAGTATCTGCTGCAGGGCGCCCGTGGCTGGGTCCCAGAGCCGTATGGTCGTATCTTCTGAGCCGGACGCCAGCAGCCGGCCATCGGGTGAGAAGGCCACGGACTGAACCCAACCTGTATGGCCCTCGAGTGTCTGCTGCAGGGCGCCCGAGGCTGGGTCCCAGAGCCGTATGGTCTTATCGAATGAGCCGGACGCCAGCAGCCGGCCATTGGGTGAGAAGGCCACGGACCAAACGAAACCTGTATGGCCCTCAAGTGTTTGCAATTCTGCACTCCAGGTTTCCGGAGCTTCTGGGAAGCGGCAGACCCAATCAAAAAGCTCTGATTGGAACTGCTCGCGAATTATAGCCGTTCGAGGTGCAAATACCAATCCTGCATAATAAATTTGAAGAGGCACTTCATCGGCTATCTGTCGATTTTTCAGAACAAACCGCTTTGCATCATGTAGAAAGGCGGCCAGACTCGTGTTGTCATTATGATCCTATCCTTATTAGTGTAGCTCTTCGATAATCGTCTATTCAATACTTACTGGCACCATCATTCGGAGAATGTCGAGCATATCCATCACCTCTGATATAAGACCCAGCAGGCTCATCGCCTCCATCCAATGAAGAAAATGTTTCTGGAGGAACAACCGCACGTCTTCTATGTTCGAAGATAAAGGGTGGCTATTTTTGAGATGATGCACCCAGAAGCGACAGGAGTATTGCAACTCCGACGTTAGATACTGGCGGATATCCTGAGGGTCGATCTCTGCCCTACGCGCTCCAGGGTCTACTAGATTACAGATATCTCTCTGTAGAAGACGCCGCATAGTCCTCAGGCAGAATTTTGTAACGTCTTTGTGCTTCGTTGGCGCATTCACACGAAACTTGGTTGTAGTCTGGATCAGAAAATCCGGAAATGAGATATGCAGAATTCTGACAGGCTGGTTTTTGTCGTTCGGGATGTTAAGAACCGACCGAAAGGAATCCAATCGATTGCTGATCTGGTCCACTTCTATCTCAAGAAGTCGAGATAGTGTGCTTGTAGAAAGCGGAACAGCAAGAAGGATGATAACCCCCACAATGTCCTGAAACTCTTGTAGAAGTTGCTGTTTTTCCCTCTCATCACTCTCTTGGTCATCGAGGAGTCGCGTCAGAATTGGCAGATATGTCTTGTCCATTTTGGACACATATTTAGCTTGATCATTAAGAAGCTCTGCAAGACGCGCTTTAGGTTCCCACTTTGGATTTTCAATGTAGCGGCACACAGTAGCAGCCGAAATAAACAGCGGAACAGATATCCTGACTAATTCTTGAATAATATTGTCACCAGGCCAGTTTGGGGGGACCTTTCTATTATGCTGGATTTTCGTAAAGCGATGTTGTAGAAATAATTGTATGTCGTGTTCTGTCACCTCTTCGGGAATCTCATGAAGAGCCAGATCTTGATATATATGGCTCCTGATCTCTGAAAACCCGAGGCTGATGGGAAGCTCTGGCCTGCTAGTCAGGAAGATCCGAAGGCAAACTGATTTTACCTCCTGTAGACGAGGGAGCAATCGAATAATATTTTGGATATCTTGGTCATGCTCGCATTCGTCCAAAGCATCAATAATGATCACGGCATTCTGAGATTGTTGACAGTGCTGGTCAAGGCTATACAAAGGTTGAAGGAGTAGCTTTTCAAATTGCTCTCTGAGCGATTTCGACGCGATGTTTGGATCATTATCAAGTGCCTTTTGCACACCGGACTTCAGCCCAGAGCTCCAAAGCATTAATTGTCTGGTTAATGTCGGGAACAATTTCTTGGCATTCCCTCGGTCCTCTTCCCCCCTCTTAAAAAAGAAGCTGGCTCCGAGCACCCTTTGTTCTTTGAAGCAACGCGAGATCGTCCGAGAGATTGTTGACTTTCCGGTTCCTGCCATGCCGTTCAACCAGAAAATGCACTTTTCCTGAGGTGAAAATGCCCACTTTTCGATTCGGTCGAGCAGCTCGTATCTAGTTCCTGGAAGGCACTCGTCATCCTCATTCGCGTACGAGTCAAAAGCTGCCCCTTCAGCAACACTTAATCGATCCAGATCGAGTTTTATAGTGATCTTGTTCGTGCTTGTCTTCAAGTTTTCAAGCTGCTGGTTGATCGTTGCTGTGATGAGAATGAAAGTATATTAGATCCAGCTCGTCTCTAAACACCAATGGTCAGGAATGTGATGGCAACACTAACAGATCTCCTTCGCCAGCTTCTCCTGTGACACCTGCCCACGGGGGATGTAACTTAGCAACTCTTTTGTGTAAGATGCAGCCACCAATGCTGCACATCCTTGCCACTGCTTATTTTTATGCGAGTCAGCGTAGTCGCAGATTCCCCGGATAACTATACACGGGAAGTCCTGCATCAGACCTGCAGCTTCCATCTCGAAGCACAGGGCACCCGTTTCTTTCCTAAGCTGCTCCCGTACCCCGCTATGCCTTATAACAGTGTTTCCCGACGCAATAATGCCATAATGTAGTTGTGGGTCGTTATCCTGACGTTTACCTCTTGGCACCTCCCACTCAACCGAACAATCATCACAAGTAGCCGAGTCTGACAGATGCTCGTACTGGATTTGAAAGAGTCGATCATGTTGCGGATCCGGTCGACCGAAATTTTGTCGGGTTCGTGTGGTCCTTTGCACTGCTTGTTGGATGTATGACAAGTAGAGCGGGTCGTCTCGCAGAGCCGCTGCTCTCATTTGGTTGACTGCAGCCAACAACAACCTGGGTGGGCTATTTAATGAACTGGTGCGGGTACGTTTCCCATTTTCATTGATCTTCCCCATGTCATGCTGAAGTACGCCACCGCAACTGCCTGTAGGATAACTGATCACGACGTCACCAAGTCGTATATCCTGTGTAGCAGAAGGAATTCCTCCTCCAATGCCCACCATTAATCCAATACGTAGCGACTGGGAAAACGTTCGCATCATGTGATTAGCCACGGTTGTAGCTGAAGTTGTACCGTAGGGCGCTCCCAAGCACGCAATCACAATGTAATGCTTCCCAATGCGGCCTAAAGTATAGATATTGGTGTCCGCATTATCCTGCTCTTCAAGTGATCCAAAAGTTTCGTCAAGCATCTCATGAGCAGCGGCGGCCTCGACAGGAAGGGCACATATCCAGCCGATTTGGTACTCCTCGAGCGCGGGAGGGGGCATCGTGGCTGCATCAGCAAACTCTGCGTTCTAGACGAGAACAGTCAAACATCAGGAACTAGGCTTTTCTTCAGAGCTGCTAGGACGGACGAAGTAATAATGAGAGAAGCTGTAAAAAGACATCATTGTTAATGCTAGAAAACCCCCAGCGCGACGTTGAAAAGAGGGGTAAAAAACTGCTGATACTGTAAAGTAAGGCTGTGTGTTTTGATGACCATCTATTGGTGCTTGGAACCCAACAATCACATGATTAAATCATGGAGGATAGATATAGCTGTGGCCGCGGAACTGACTAAGCAATTACTTCATCACCTTGCTCAACCGATTGATTAATCGATCAATGTTGATCGTACGATTATAGAGCTTGAATCGTATGATCAAGCCTTTTATTGCATATCTGAAGCCCCTGAAATTGCATAAATATAGCTTCTTTTTGCAGTAGATTAGAATGAATCAAGACCTTCAATCGTTTCATATGATCATATAAGCTCGGCGTATTAATCAGCTCTTTGCCAAGACCATTTCTGCCACAATAGCTCTTTGGATTGGCAGTGGGAAATTGGTTTTAAGGCCATTTGTCCACACTCAGCTTTTTGATTAGCGGCTTGGCAGTGGGGCGCAGGATAAAGAAGAGAGTGTGAGACGGTGAAACTGGCTTTGCACTTCTCTGTACATAGAAACCCTTATATGGATAATCTGAATGATAGTATATATTATGCATCCAGGAACCGCAACTCCGACGCCTCGCACTTGGAGGTTATGAAGCCCTTTAGCAATGCAATATTGGTTCTTACAGGGTGCGAAAAACACGTGTTATAACCACATAAACAACTAACAAACCAGTACTCATTGTCATTTCGGCATCGCGGAAGCTGAGTCAGATAGCTTTTCTTTTCTACGGCAGGGGTAGGGTCACCGATTGTTTCGGCATTTCAATGACTTCTGTAAATATGGCTGGGCCGGCTGCAGGTGCGGTCTCTTATTGAATGTGGCTTTTAGATACATGCTGCCATTTGCATAATACAGTAACAAACTTGTGGCATGCGTCTTTTTAGAGACCTTTCGCTCGTCTGGACAGACAGGCTGGGGAGAATATAGCACTAACCGTTAAAGAAGCCACGGACTGGGCCAGAGCATCCCTAGCTTATGCTCAACAGGACGCCGAACGGCAAGCGAACAAGTCCGGTTCTCCAGCCCCCCAGTATAAGGAGAAGGGCGTGTTCTGGTTAAACCCGAAGAATATTAAGACCGATCGCCCAAGTAAAAACTCGATGGGAAGAACCACAAATATCGTGTGACCGAAGTCATAGGAACACATGCTGTCCGACTGAACATCCTACCAGGAATACATAATGTGTTCCATGCGGACCTGATCCGTCCAGCAGTATCAGAGCCCTTCCCTCACAGGTGCAGAAGGACTGGCGACCCCTTGGCCTCTTGGTGGATGGTGAGACCGAATACTTAGTCGAGAGAATCCTGGTGAAAGCCTGGGTACGAAAGGGGAGAAGAGTAAAGCTATGTTACCATGTGAAATGGACGGGGCATGAAGACACCTATTACGGCGTTATAAGACACTACAGCTACATATGAATGGGAAGCTACGCAAAGAGTTCCATGGAAGGACCCCGCCCGGCCGAGAACCGGGAACTAACTTATCGTTCGATTCAAAGAAGGAGATAGAGAGGAGGGAGGCGACCCAACCAACTCCCGGAGGAGAAGAGGAAACACTCGCCGACTCCGTTTCAGGAAAGAAACAAAAACCCAACGACCTAAGCCCGACCGCGTAATGATACCCAGCGCAAAACCTCGGAGCGCCCTAATGACCGTGGTCGCCATGCTTACAATTCTAACTGTGGGTCAGGGACTGTTGTCAGAACAAAAAGAGAACGGAAAATGTACCAGATCAAGGAAGACAGGACACGGCGAGGGCCGTGCCAGCCCTTCCGGGACCGATTCCCCGGTTGGGGCCGGCACGACCCGGACGAACGAAAAGAATCTTACCTGAAAGCCCCCCCACACGCACTACTCGTGCTTTCCTTCCTGCACAAGGGACCACCCACGTTGAACTAAACGAAGGATCGCGTGGATACGCCGCATGAGAACGTCAGAAGGACGGACTTAGAAGTATTCGTCCGGCAGGAGGCGACTCTCATGGATCTCGTCGGCCCAGCATCCCAGCATGTTCTCGATACCCCGGACCAGGAACTCAAAATTGCTGTCGAGCCACCTAGCAAAATCACGGCGGCGGGACTGGGGTGACCGGCATTGTCTTGAGAGGAGGCCATGTCGTCGTTGGAAAGTGTGGAGACGAAAAGTTGAAACCCGAGGAGGAAGACACCGGCGAAGGAGTCTTGATCATAGACAAGCAAGAAGGCTAAGGAAGGAAGGTGGACGAAGAAGAGGAAAGGAGTCAAAGGGGGAGAAGTGAGTTCACAGAGACGAAAGAGCTGTCTTTGAGAAGGAAGTAAATGTCAAGTGTCAGGAAGAGGACCGGAGCAAGCTCAAATCAGGTGGGAGCTGGTGATGAGAAGGAAGCCCCGAGGTGTCACTGTAGAGACGGAAGCATTCACAAGAGACGTCAGAGTATCAGCCAAACCGGGTCGGCCAAGATGAAGTGAATGAGCCTGCAATGAGATAGGAACAACGCGGAACCCAGCAGCCCATATAATCACGGAACCAACCACCAGGTGAAGGAACGAGGGCGATGACGGCACACAGACTGTTGAGAGATACCCGAGCCGAGATCCTTATATTCATGAAGCCATTGCCCCCAGGGAAGTCCCTGCTTTCACCCCTGACAAACAGCACGGCAGACGCCATTCTTACAAAAAAGGGAGAAATGAAGGAAGAAAACGGAGAGGAAGAAAGGAGAGGGAGCCTTATGAAATGGGACAGGTCCCCACCCCGATATCAGTACTCGGCTGAAGCCTCAGATAGGACACATTATGCATCCGAAGGATTCTGGGATGTGGATATTGTCGCACATGCAGGTTTCCCCGCAGCGGCCAGATTGGCTGGATCTCCCTTATATTCCACAATGTCACCCGGTAACGGGAAGCGGATATCCTCCATTTCTGAAGTGAAGCATCCGTTTATATTGGCGACGAACATGGGTGGGAATTTATGAGAAGCATCGGCCTTACAAGATTGGCACTTACTGGAAGAGGAAGTACCGGTTGTATCTTTGGGTAAAATGGTCAAAGGCGCACAATTCATAAACATTTCCCGGTTTCCGATACAGTATTTCCGGAAAATGGTGTCACCACTTACACATTCTTTTGTTCCCAAACACGACTGCCAAGAAAGAGCTAACCTGGAATGGAATGGTTTGCGGAAAAGCTATGTTCCTTTGTTTTGTGATTTCTGCCCTGAAAAACGTAATTAAACCGAAGCTGGTGTATCGTATTATAACCATAACCATTGCACTCAACATTCCCGCTGGTACTGTATTTCGCAATATCTTTATTCCGATCCATGGCTTCCCATATTCACATCCTGGAAATTTCGCGGCCATCTGATCATAGTATCGACCGTTATGGAAGCTAGGACGTTGGCAGCTAAACCTCGTCAAGCTACACCTCCTCTCAATCTAAACCGCACGAAATCGCTATTGGAACCCACCAAATCATTTCGAAACTTCGAACAGCCTATCGGGATGTGTTATCACGGCGTACCTGGAAGTTGTAAACATAATACCCCACTACTTCATGTCAGGTACTAGCGAAGGAACTGAATGTATATGCCCCTGGGTTAGTCATGTAGGAGGTGAAGGATGATTGTCTGACCAGTACGGCTAACTAACTATCTAGTTAAGCAAAATTCAGCATATAGGGAAGGCGGTAATTAGTGGCAGTATACTCCGACAAACCATGCCCCAAATCAGGCATTACTGAAGAACATTGGGGATATATTTAATAACGTGTGGCCTATACTAGAAGGCGTAAAACGACGCGGTCAGTGTCATACCGACATTGGTATTGCGGAAGCCTACCTAAATATCCAAATCAATCCGAACAAGATAGCCTTCATGAGCCGACAACTTCGTGTTCAAGCAATGCTTGGCAGCAGAGCGGGGTAGGGCGGGGTAGAGCGGGGCGACGTCAGAAACTAGCGTCCACCTGTAATAAATAGATGTTTGTTTTCCCGAATCTACAAAGATTCTCTCGACTGCCCTTAACTACGTACCATCGGCCATCATCTCCAATTGATAAATCAACATTCGCTTAGCTTCAATACCACATGTCAGAATGCCTGCCGAATTCTATATCGAAGTAAACGGGAACAGACAATCCGTGTCTGGCAGAGAACTTGGACAAGGCGCTCTCGGGCTCGGAGTCATAGCAGCTCTAAGCAGCGCAGCAGACAGAGGAACAAGAAGAGTTGTGTCAGATACGAAGCAAGACCAGTATGTAACCATTATGCAGGGGACTTCTTATCATACGCCATTCTTATACGTAGCCCAGCGAACCAATACCAGAATGCTTTGCCAACACGGCGCCATCAGCCCAACCGAAAATGATGCAGGTCCAGGCGCAGCCAGCCTGTTATGACTGCAATACAAATGTTTGTACCTTTGAATCATTTGTGCTTAGTAAAGCCCTGACGAACAACAGGGAACTCTCAGTGAACCCCATGTCCCAGGCACAGCCTCAGTTAGAATCATGTCAACCTCATTCAGTGCCACTGCAGCCTATTCAACCAGGTTCGCGGCACTTCAGCTCAAAGCGCCAGGAGTTTTGGCTCTCCAGGGAGCACAAGCCGTGGACTTACTTGGATCTCAGAGCCGCTTCTCTAAAAGTCAAATGGATGAGCTTGAAAAGTCTAGTGTCGATATGCCACATAGGTTTGCGAAGCAAGTTTATCATCATCTAAGCCGCCTTATACATGGCGAAGGACGAACACACTGCATCTTTATGTATCATCCGGAGACCGATTGGTATCCGGATTTTGAGCACCTGATCCAGCAAAGCGACTTACCTGCCAACTTTTGCGGCATATCAGACAATCTTGATGCTTTATGTGCTTGGATGAGGGTTGTACGAGAACAGCTCATGGCCAGTACTGAAGATGGAAAATACTTGATTTTTCGCTTGTGCATTCCGACTTATCAAAATCTTGCTATCCTGGAGCGCATCACGTTTCCGGAGGAGATATATCCCCTTCAGGTGGAAGGCCTGTTCCCAAATGGACCTTTCATTGGCCTCAACATTCCAAGAAGGGTGTGGAATAACGTCTTCAAATCAGGGTGTAAGCTGATTCATCTCGAGAAACATTTGTCGACAGAAGAGACCATTATCGTGAATGCTGCGCCCGTTGGTATTGGGCTAACATGGCTGGGGCTTACAATGGCCGCAGGCCTTACCACTGCTCTCGTATTCGCTGCTCCAGCGGCTGCACCACTTGCAGCTGCAGTCGCTGGGTTTGGTGGAACAATTCCAATGGAATGGGCAGGGAGAGCAGTGGAGGAAAGGTATAATCCTGAGGGCAGACTTCTTGGTCAGTGACCATCATCAGTAAATACGTCTACATCAGCTATTTATCATACCAGAAAATCAAGCATATTGAGATTCCAAAGAGCAACTACTTTCTAAAGTTTCTATGAGGCATAGAAAGCGAAGGCTTTTCGGGAACACTTGCAATAGTATCACTATAATACAGAGAGAAAGAAAGGAAATAAGCAATCTAGGTCGAAGGGCTGAGCTCTACTGTTTTCAAGACACATTATATCATTGAGTGTTCTTTCACCGAAAGTTCCAAGGGGCTTCCTTGGAAGCTTATTGTCTTATAACAGATATTCCGTTAGTACGGTTCATGCAGGACGATACAGTTTAACAAGAATTCTGGACGTGTCTAACCGAATTTGAAGTAGCGAAGTAGCGCCATTCTAGGGTGGGGCCCGAGAAATATTTTCTGAGTGTACGAGGGGGTCTGATTTCGAACATGACAGTAGCGTCATATGTATTCGTCTCCATTTAACACTTTTCCACTTATCTACCTCTTAAAGCCTACTTAACTGAATTACTATTAGACTAGTGGTCGCGGACTCGCCCACCTACCAGCGACACCAAACGTCATTCGATCATCTCGTCGGTATAAAGTTAATCCGAATTATTCACGTGATGATCGCAGGTGTAGAGTGGGATAAGTTAGGCGCCATCCTTTGTCGGAAGTCAAACTATCTAATGTTTGAGGTGGCTATGAAGTCTGGGAATGAGGGTACTCCATTTCCACCTGTGACTGCGTAATTTACGGGGCTGGCATCCAAACCATACATTACAAAACGCGGGCCATGTGAGACCGGATTAATTCTTAAAATAGTTTAGTGCGGCTGGGCACCATGGTTTGGGAGAAGAAGGAAGAGTATAACTGGTGACACCATTTTCCGGAACTACTGTACGGTTAAACCCGACAACAGTCGGGCCAGGAATTCGTCTGCCAACTGTACAAGTTGATAAGAAGACTGCGGAGACATGGAAACCAGATCAATATCCGTTGGATCCCCGCTAACGAAGAGAATAAACTGCTAGGTCTGGCCAAAGAGCAGGCTAGAGCCGCGGCACAAAAAGATGCTGTCCCGCAAGAACAGGTCCCCAGGATGAAGTCGACAACACTGAAAATCGCACGTTCCCAAGCGGTCCCCAGAAATGGCCTGCCAGAGAACGTAGGGAGACACGCGAAACGAGTGGATGCAGCACTCCCAGGCAAACACACCCGGCAGCTGTATGACCGGTTATCGTGGAAAGAAGCGAGCGTGCTGGCTCAACTCCGAACCGGCATGGCAAGATTAAATGGATATCTCTATCAAATCAATGTATCACAGACGGGCCAGTGTGCCTGTGGACAAGCAGGTGAAACAGTCGAGCACTTCCTCTTTCGATGTCGGAAGTGGACCGCACAACGGACGGAAATGCTGCAATGTACCCATACCCACCGAGGGAACATATCCTTCTTCCTAGGCGGAAAATCCCCTTCCAATGATCAGGGCTGGTCGCCGAACCTGGAAGCAGTACGAGCCTCAATAAGATTTGCAATCGCCACAGGCCGACTCGAAGCTGTTTAACCATTTCAACCAACACCAACGATACCCTCCCCAAACTAACCTACAACAACCACCTTGTGCCAGAGGCGGTAGACGCGCTTCAATTGCCGAGAATAGGATGTTGAACACTTGAAGAAGCGCCTTCAAGCTAGTCTACTAACAAAATTACTAACCCACGAGGACCCGCTACGATACTGACAGCTGATATGACATAAATTGAACGCAAACATGCATGGGCTTCGAGGAGACAAGGCATATATATTTGGACATGTATAATAGTTCAGTGAGAGTTGCCCTTTCGGTTCAGCCGCCGGGCGTTAATAAATTGTGTGTGTGTGTGTGTACGGTTAAACCAGGTCCACGCCATCGTGTAAGAGCCAGGCTCAATGTCTTCGGGGATTTCGAAATTGAGCTCACTTGGAACGGCCAATTCCGAATCAAGTGCAAGGTTCCCGGACGTCTTTGCTGGGCAGCCTCCTTCTATTGATTTGATCACCATCCACTCCGAGGCTTGGTCGGGTGCTGAATCCCGGGTCAGGCTTATTTGGCAAGACCCACCACCATGCACCGCACCACCCTCAAAGGCCAGGCTGACTGTCTCACCTACTCTGGCCGTATTATCTTTCGAAGCCTCGTATACCCCATCGCGAAGTTTGCATGGAAAGTCACTGCCATCCGCGGCCAGAGGAGAGTTGTTCAAAGTATCTTGCCCGTACGGAACGGGGTAACTCATCTTGACATGGCCATAGGTTACGCCGCAGAAAGCCATAACACTAAAAATCTTGTATAGAAAATGCATCGTATGATTTCCCTCCCGCTACTTGACGCATGCATCTTTGGCCTTTGTCGTACCGGTCTAACGCGGGCATGGGAGGATCCTTATATGCGGATTGGAACGCACCATTTTCATGGGGCCGGGAAGATTCAGAAATGCCTCAATTTACCGTATGGAAGATAATTGCTAGTTCATTGGCTAAATGGGTTCTCCCTCCTCAATGCGGCGAACAGCCCCTGTTTCCAAAAATGAAGTTTTATTCGGGCGAAGTTAAATTATGAGTAGAGAAGCCAGTATTTAGACTTTTTAGGGCGTCATATTGTGCCACCGTGCTATATCATGGCCTGCTCGGCCAGCTCCTTCGCAATCATCGAGTACTTAATATTGCGACCCATTTCGCCCACGGTTGTGCGTTGACGGACCGAGTTTCAGAACAAAGCTTTTTCGAATATCAGTTAAAGATATAGTAATGAAACTTCTCCATCCAGTTTTAGCCTTCTTGTGGGGGTATCACGTGATACTCTTCCAGCCGTTTGCGACTGCATCCGTACCCACTGGATACCGTTCTGTTGTGTACTTTGTGAATTGGGTACAGTGTCGTGCCCGAAGAGAAGTGGGGCACTGTAACTCAATTTTTACAGGCTCCTTCACGAAACCATTATCCCCAGGATCTCCCGTTAGATCAGTTAACTCACGTACTATATGCCTTTGCCCGTGTCAGCGATATGGACGGGCGGGTGACTCTTCCGGACAGCTACACCGATATTGAAAAACGTTACCCTACTGATGCGGTTAACGACCCTCAACAGAAGGATATGTATGGAACAATCAAGCAAATTATGAAGCTGAAAAGTAGCAACCGGCACCTGAAAGCTTTACTCTCTATCGGTGGGTGGGGTACAGCGTTGAACTTCACCGGAGCCACTAGCACGGAGAGCAACCGGAAGAATTTTGCACTCACGGCTCTGGAGCTTGTGAAAGACCTGGGTTTTGATGGATTGGATATTGACTGGGAGGTATGTTGGAGGCATTGCCACCGTATCATCATGCTGATTTTCAGTACCCGAAATCGAAATGCGAGGCCGAGAACTACGTCTTGCTTCTCGCGGAAGTCCGGACCGTAAGTCGACCTCGCTCTCAATGTCGTGTTTCTTGTCTTGACATACTCTGTGTAAATCACGAAGGCGCTCGATAGATACTCCGAGAGAAGCGCTGCCGGAAAGAAGTTCTTGCTCACAGTTGCGTCATCAGCGGGTGAGAAATCAAGTTACCGCATAGTGACCACATATTAATGAACATGATTAACAGCACCTTCAAACATCCAAATGCTAAATCTGGCGGCCATGGATCGGTACGTTGATTTCTGGAACCTTATGGCGTACGACTACGCCGGCAGCTGGGATAGCACCAGTGGCCACACGGCAAACGTCTATGCAGACCCTGCGCATCCAACCGACACCAAGGGCAACACAGATTCCGCGATTAATTCCTATATTAAGCAAGGTATACGCTCAGATAAGATTGTCCTGGGCATGCCGTTGTATGGAAGGTCATTCATGAACACGAAGGGCCCCGGGATGCCATTTCAGGGTGTGGGAAAAGGCACATGGGAAGCCGGGGTGTGGGATTACAAAGACATGCCCCCAATCGGATCAAGACAGCACGACGATGAAAGACTGATCGCGAGTTACAGTTACGACGGCAGCACCCGGACCATGATCAGTTATGATACGCCAACAGTGGCTTTGTGGAAAGCGAATTACATCGTGGCGAGGCATCTTGGGGGCGCCATGTGGTGGGAAAGTAGCGGCGACAAGACAAATGATGAAAGCCTAATTTCTACTGTGAGTATAGCCCTTTCATTGTCCTCCTGTAGACTAACGGTGATTTAGGTCTTCCATGGCCTCGGGGGAAAGCAGTCCCTAGAAAGAAGCCAAAACCATCTGAGCTATCCGGAGTCCCGGTATGGTAACATACGAGAGTGGCTCCTTTGACCTCGAGTGCATGCTCGAATCAACAGTAGACAAGTCTATGCACGATATATAGGACATATCCGGATACCTTCAGGGACAGCCCTACGAATAACGCCCATAACTGTCATAATGTCTACGATTGCATTGCAGGGCTTTTGCAGGAGCAGCGTCACTGAGAAAGTATATCCATAAAGCCATTGAAAGCAACGTTGGGTGATCCTTTGCCAGAGATACGAGTCAGTATGTGCAAGGCGAGGGGTTGATGAGGTGGGTCGTGATCTCAACACCATTCTACGGCTCCTTCTAGACAAATAGTTCTATAGTGCAGCAGGTATTGAATGTTATAAAAGTGGCCTAATGTAGGGTATGGCATGTGATTAGATATAAGCGTACATCTTGCCTAGGTGGACTAGCGATAGGAGCTTCACGAGAAGACACCGATCCCTAATCATGTTGTCGTTTATACATTTGAAGGCGGTCAGCATTGGTGAGAAGAACGTTCCATATAGAAATTATTGGGAGCTCCAAAAATAACAGTGCGGTCAAAGAAAACCATTTTCTGCAGATTCTACCATCAAATCATGTCAGTTTGAGAGAAGTCTATGAAGGGCGACGCCCAACAATGATTCAGTAATCCTCTTTAAATACATTGATGTCAACCCTGCTATCAATTCCTTCAAATGTCTCACGAGACCAACGAGGCATAGCAGACCGATCATAATTAGTAGAAGGCAATAAATAGAGCTCCGACAGCGACTTGAGAGACGTTGGTGCGATCCATGCCATACGACCAGGGTCACAGTATGTGGCTTCCAAACTGCCAGTCAGTAGCTAATAAGAACACTTCAGGAAATGTTAATACAATGTTGGCAGGCCTCCTACTGGATTCATTTGCCATGCTGTCGACTTTCAGGGCTGTCCGAGGCAGGTTAGATAGCAAGCATAATACCCCTATTACACTATCAAGCCAAGTAGCTTTCATGTCTCCGGACTTTTTTGGATGGTTGTGGCCTCTTGGCGTGCGGCTGTCAACGGGCGATGAATCCTATTAGAAGTCGTCCCTTATGAGAATTAACGCACCCTTTGCACATGGCACAAGACAGAGAAATGAGTAAAAGGCCTGGTAGCCGGTTCTGAACTGTAGTATAACACCGGGCATGGAGGCCAGGCTATCACAGGCCGTAACAAGGCTCTCAATTCTTCAGGATGGGATGGATCCATGTACTTGGACGAATAAACACGAGAGCTAAATACAATACACAGTGGGACCACCTTGGCGAGGAGTTGACACATGAAACCACATGCACACCCTGTGATTACGGCTCTACTTCCTGAACTGCAAGATATACCAATTACTGTATCAAAATGAATTCTTTAAACTAAGGGATATATTATCAAAGCCCTTGAAAGGTTTAACTAATTCCAGAGGACCCAAATCGATATGGTATGTCTTTCAGGCGTACGGAATGTTCTTTGCTGGGATCAGTATTTTCCGCTACCTGCCATGTTTGCTTTTCTATAGGTAACACATATGTACCTGGCAGGAAACAGTGGCTTTGCATGCAATAGAGACGTGAAATGTTAAAGCAGGTCCATCTGGATTGGGCAAAAGCTTGACAATGTGGGATACTGTACTGAAAACAGTCATAGATGTACTGTAGGCGCATAAAGGCTGGTTAATCAAAGAGCAAATGTGATACCTCCTGATGTGCAATGGCCTATACGGCGTGAGTCCATGTCCTCTTAGAGCAGTGTTCCCCAATTTGCAAGAAATGAAATAGCTAGGAGCGTAATGACGAAAGGACCTAGACGAAACTTGGGCATAATTGCCCCAGAGGCCAATTGAATGTGGTCTGTGCTTGATGGTGATGGCAATGAAGGCTTTGTTGCTCCCCAACTATCCTGTTTCACGCTGCTTGGTGTAGGAGTACCGACCACAGTGGCCTTCTTAATACTACCTGCTTGTACTTGGACTGAGGTCGACGCAGAGATTATTTTGGAGCTCATGGATGCCCTTATTGACGGCGTGGATGAAGTGCCCAAATTTTCGTATCGATTCTGGCTGGTTTCGAATCGGGAGGGCCATTTGGGTACGCTTTGTTCCGGGAATGTGGACGGTATCCCATGCCTGGAAGATGGAACGACACTACTCGAAGTCGGTTTCGTGGTAGGGCTGGAGCAGCATGTTCGTGTGCTAGACGCGGTGGAGTCGGGTGACAGCGTGATGGTGGACTGATGGGTCCCGGCTACAGTGACGGTCACTCCCGATGTTTTCCCTTTCATAGAATCCATTAAACCGCCATGAAAATCAATGCTACCTTGCACCTCAAGGCTCTCGCATAGTATGGCGAACGCGAGAAGAGATGCTGTCACAAAGCCACGTAACTGGAGCATGACGAGCGGCCTTCCCTGTGGAAATTTTGACCTGGATACAGCGTGGGCTGTGTCGGTACCTTTATACACACCAATGCCCTCTGTTTTCTGTCTTTTCTTTCGTTGAACGCCATATCGCAAGAACTTTGACTTCCCCCCCAGGTTTTATCTCGGAGGCCCAAGTAATGAGGCCCTCCATAGGTGAGATTAATGGCAGGTTAGGAGAAATTGTTCAGACACTCCGTAGCGTACCTCCGTGGCCCAAATGCTTATATTGAACGGTTCTCGTACTATTTTAGACCAGAGTCGGTGAAGGCCAAGACCATGGACTTCAAAGGGTTGAACCAGACGCTAAATGACATCACTGGAAAGGCCCAAAGGAGCCAGAAGCTCTCTGCCAAACCGTTCCTCATTTCCCTGGCCGTATATGGATGCTTATTATTGGTAACCGCGTTTCTTTTCACTTTACTGAAAGACAGGAGTGTTAAAACTTTGTATGTATCGATTTCTACCCCCGTATGAAGCAGACTATTCACCATCAAAACTCGTGTAGCCAGCCAAGATGCGAAGAGGACGGGGACCTCGAGAAGCTGCGCACGGGTAGCATTGCATGGATAATGCAGCTGCAAAGAATGAGCGCGGATGAGAACCGTTTTATCGACAAATATGGCGAGGACTGTTTCTTCTTCGTACGGTTTCTCATGGTTGCACTGAAGCTGCTTTTGCCTTTAAGTCTCGTTGCAATTCCTGTCTTAGTCCCCGTTTATTACACGGCCAGTAGCCCGCGGAGGGTCTCGGGACTTGATCAGTTTGGCATCTCCAGCATACAAAAGTCCCAAAATATACGGTGCTGGATCATTACCTTGATCGTCATTATTAGCAATGTCCACACTTGTCGAATTCTCTTCAACGAAATCAAAAACACCGTGAGAGTAAGACAAAACCATCTGCATCGCCTTATGCAGGTTAATGCGGCAGCCACGGTTTTAGTCACTGGAATTCCTCCGGAAAAACAGAATGAGAAAGCAATGGCGGCTGACTTTTTCGCGTACAATGGCGGTCCAAGTACAATCAACCTACCAGAGACAACCTCTTTCCATACCAATCAAACCGAGTTTGTTAATATGGAGGCCCTGGAGAGTAAATCAAAAAGTGTCCGAAACCATGCATCGCCGACTCTGTTCCAGGCCGTCACAGGGATCATCTCTAGGGCCAAGGAAAAGTATTCGCCATCACGGCGTGCTTGTGGCCTGCGTGGAGAGGCTACGAGCAATGCCTTATTACGGTTCGACAGTATTTTTACGGCACATCTGATGTTACAAACCCCAGTGTCTACCAATCCCTTTACAATGAAGGCATATCTTTTAGACAACGATAAAATCCTGGATCGGTTTCATGACGGTCAAGATGTGTGCCCCAAACCCTTCAAAGACATTATCATCCGGGTTTTGCTGGACGGACTATCCGTACTTTGGGCGATACCGATATCTCTGACCGGTCTTTTATCCCAGCTGGTCTACCTAGAGCCAATAAGTTCACAACTATCCAAACTGTCGGAGGGGCAGATGGCCGCAATCCAGGGACTACTGCCGCAGATTGCGCTGGCTCTGCTCATGTGCGGCTTCCCCATTATCATGCAGTGGATAATCAAGCGCACAACAATATTCCAATTGTCGCTCAGGGAGCTGTCGATTCAGAAACACTATTTTTTTTTTCTGTACGTGCAGGTCTTTTTGGTCGTCTCTCTCTCATCAAGTGTTACGACCATGATCCCCGATATCATCGAGAATGTTCAGTCCGTCTCGACGATACTAGCCGACAATCTGCCGAAGGCCTCCAATTATTTTTACTCGTACTTGTTATTACAAGCCCTCACCCAGTGCGCCATGGTATTTTTCCAGCTACCTGACAGCCTTTTATTCTACGTACGGCGCCATTCAGGCCGAGCGCGATCACGAACAATACAATGGAGTTTGCTCTACCCTGTCTTGACCAATTTGCTGTGCATATGTACATCGTGTCGATCATTGTAGAAGCAGGGGTCATACTGATCATTGTATAGGTATCATCTTCACGATAATCTCTCCCCTAATCCTCGCGATCGGGGCCGTGGTCTTCAGCGCTTTCCGGATTGCCTATTCTTACCAGGCAATCTATGTTGTCAGAACGAGTGTCGAAACCGCCGGGCTACTGTATTGGCAGGCCCTCCATCACTTGTTCGTCGCCATTTATACGATGGATGTTTTCGTTATTGGCCTCTTTGTCCTACGGGGCGCGGCTGGCCCGACAATAGTTACCTCGGTTCTTCTCATTCTCGTGGGGCTCCTACAAAGGTACATTCTGGTGACATACCGTAAGCTTTTGAGGTACGTATCAGCTGTGCACGTCAAATCGCAGCAGATGTGATGGCTCAGGACTTGACACGATCATGGTGAGTGTTCTCTGTCATACGAACAGCTAGAATGGCGTAGAAGCAAATCTATGTCAATTTGGCAAGCCGAGCTGTGCAACCATGCCTGTTTTAAATTGCGCCCGTAAAGACGTTCCCCCATCAGAGCCATCCGCTTTACGAGGATTTTAAGTTTTTTATATCACAAGCCAGTAATTTTCCTTACATCCGAATGATCCGATCAAAACAGGTCATGTTACGGCGGAAATAAGCAATCGAATCCATTGCGAGAAGCGAGAAGTGCACACAGGTCGAAGGGCAAACTAGAATTAAAAAAAAATAAAATAAAAAAAGAGACAAAGGAAGCGCCATTCCATAGACTGTAACATACCGCGATACTTAAGTTATTCAATGCCCTGCCCTCCAGCACGTTCGCACAACGCCATGTACCTTTTGGACTACACCACAGTTGTAGTGTTTCTTTCATGCTGGCAATGGTGTAGTGCCTGCGCCTGCTCCGCAGATCACGTCCGTCATGGCCCTAGAATCGAAGAAGTTGACAGGCTTCGTAGCGAACGACCACATGACTCATTGGTGAGACCACCGCCTAACCTTGTCCACGAAAGATTCCAACTAGATAAACGCCTCGCCAGTACCCATACTCCTTTTAGCACAAATGCTGTGATGCGACCTTCCTGGCCACCAGGCCTGTTACAGTCGTCTATGACTACTTCCCAGAGTGTTGAAAGTGAACCTGTATCGGGTGATCCTGCAAGTGAAGTTACTACCATTGCTGTGTCAAGGCAGACCGGACAGGAATATAGCTCAGTCGGCGTTCAGCACACGATGAAAATGGATGAAACAAAAAGTATTCACATAGCAAGCAATACAGTCACACAGTATACAAATACCACGGATGAAGAGCGCCCGGAACCACCCTCTACCTCTCACCCCGCAGTTCTAGAGGGTAGCAGTGCAGCACCTGCCTCATCCACGACGTCCTTTCAATATACCACACAGTCTGGATCCCATACCTCCAGTGAATTTTTTCAAACTAAATATGAAGACCCTGCAAATGAGCAACCGGTGTTGGACGACACGAGGACATCAATTCAGGCGATCAAGGCACAGGACGAGCAAGGGCATACCAGCACAACAAAACAATCACCAGAACCTGAAGAAGAATCTGATCGTGCTTCACAATACACTCCAGATAGTCCTGAAAGCTCCATGACATTGGCTCAGTCGTCAAGTGAGACAACACTGGAATATCCCCAAAATAGGTCTACAGACACTGTTCTCAGAATAACATCCCAGAGCATTATCTCTTCACAGAGCGCATCGTCAAATAGCCAGAAGACCATTCAAACAGGGTCTGGAGAGCCCACTCCAATCACTCTCATGGCCCACGTTAATGCTCCATTGGCTGGTGATTACAGCTCAAGGACAGTTTCTTCCAGTATACAACTGTCCAACATTGCCACCAGATTTCGGGGCAACGGCCCCCCAGTAGACGAATCGAAGGCGCGGGCTGTAACAGGGCTGTCGGGCTATACGACGGCTCATAGAGGTGATGTCAATGAACAGCGGAAGTCATTTCCAACGGAACTTTCTTTATCGAGCACAAAATCATCCAGCTCTCAGAAAGACAGTGGTGAAAAGGCAACGATTGACCTGCAAGGCCAGAGCACCACCTCCTTCGGGAGACCCGAATCAAAACCCGGGTTCTCCACGACCATAACCTCGGGTATCTGGACGTTGGCAGTAACGGAATCCAATTCTCTATCTTCCACCTCTTCCCTGAATGCACCGACGACACTTTCCCAATCAGACGCAAGAATTAAAAAGCCCTCAGAGGCTAGCGGCCAGTCTGTCGTCGAGGAAAACAGTGATCCTATAGATGATGCAAGCGAGGCACATATCCCACAACAAGGCACAGTTCCTGTCTCTGTAGGACTTGTCATGCCCGTGGTAGGTATATCAGCTATTATTTTTGAATATATCCGCCGCCGAAATAATCGCAGGCGTGCTGTCATACGAAAGCGTCAACTATATCAGACACCAGACCCATACAAGTCTCATTTTTCTCTCGACACTCTATGATGCCTATAGGTCCTTTCCTGTTCACTCAATTCTCTGTTGCGCCAGCACCTGAAATCAGACTTTGCAATACTAGAAAATGAAGTCGGCAAACGCCGGGGTGGTATCGCTGATCCTTTGCCGAATAAGCAGCGATATGACTTGTCTGGGTAACTGGGCCAAATATACCCCAGTTTGACCTGGGCTTCCCTCTCAGCTCTCTTGGAGCCTTCGTGTGAATTCAAGGAAGCGTCAGCTAATCACCCTTGTATTTCAACTGAGAGTGCCGGGATCAAACCTCTCAAGTCCTGTTTGTAAGAAAAAGAACATCTTACCTGCATTATAGTATTTCATCGAGGACTAGAACCTGTATAGAGATAGGCGCTGATCACTAACAAAGTCAACTTGCCTCTATTATCGCTTCATATATCTTTGTTTAGGTAAGTTACCTTGCTAAAGCGAGTGATGCTATGATTCTCGGTTCGATATGGGCTTGAAACCATTAGAGATGCAAGAGGTTAAATTGTTGTCATAATGTGCTGCGTAGATGGCATTAATGCTACATAAAATATGCTCAAGCCTTGATTTTGAGTTGATCCTCGAATTATTTTGTTCCACTTGCTAAGAAAAAGTATCATATTTTGAGATCCCTAGTCTTGCCAATTCCTCCAGTGACGAGGAGGTCAAGTCAGCACATATAAAGACAAAAGAAAGCGTTGATAGGCCATTGGAAGTCGACCACGGGAATATTAAGCAGATGCTTCAGCGAGTTCGTTCATCCATCGGCAAAGGCTGTCGTAAGTGGAGAATACTCCTGGTTGAGTGGGTCTATAGTGCTGCACGACTATAATCTGGCCCATGAGTAATATCCCACCGCGGAGAAGCGCGCCTCTCTTGTCATCAGTGAGTCTAGACAGGAAGACTTTTGGTTTGCACAGCTCGACCAAAGGACCTAAGTCAACATGTGCATCAGCGTGAGTGGTGTTTCCGCCAAGAGCCGTTTCACAAGGCTCTAGGTGGGCCCCAGAGTCAGTGGCGGTGACTCTGTGGACCACCCAAACAGTGTGACACTCTCCTGAATCTGCTTCAAAAAGCACTTTGCATATTCATTATTAGCTTTGGGAATGGAACATACGAAGACCGTCACAAATAGGATCAATGACTCTTCTCGATATTTACCTTTAAATGGCGACCATCCAATGCTGAGGATATATTCCACGACGACTCTACGTATAATAGGATGCTGTATGATCTGCTTGAGCTGAAGTAGGGCATAACTAGTACATGTGTTTTGTTCGAAGGGGAACAAATTGGGAGAAATGGACAATATCACTTGTCGCTGTGAACTTGGAAAGACCATCGCAGAGTGTGGTCAGGCGTGTACATATCGCAGAGATTACATCTTCCACATCTCGCAAATCGCCCAAAATTATTAACAAATTTTCGTAAGGCAGGGAAACCAGGGGGGAACCGACAGGAGATTTGGGAATCTTGATTGCTGAGCGATCGAAGTTGTGGGTTCGGTCTTATATTCTCGATATCTACCGCGACGAAGAGAGACACTGGCGCAGAAAGTAGCCTGGCTGTCCATTTGGCCTGAGGCTGGCTTATCCACTGTGGCATACACTAGTAGTGATACGAAGAACCGGCATCTACGATAACAGGAGTGTCATAAAACATCATGGAAAGCAAAATGAACGGCTAAACGCCCTCCATCCCTGTGGCAGTGGGCGTGGAAGTGAGGCCGTCAGCTGTCCCACCGAGGGCAACCTCCAGTCACGTTTTGTGTACATGAAAAAGGTTTGAGCTTAAGCACCTTATAGGCATCTCAGTACTTAATGGAACGGCCATGAAGTAGGTGAAAAGATCAACTCATCGTATTTTATCACACATATACCCTATCGACAGCCATTTGGCCAATGTAGTTCAAGACTGCGCCATACGCTAGGTGATGCGCGTAGACGGAGCGGCGAAAGAAAATGTACATGGAGAAAGTCCAATGCGTCACACTAGGAGAATAATCAGGCCGTCCAAGGGCGGCCAAGAGAAACTCCTTTGCGTCCTCAGGTAGAAAATCAACAAGCTCCGTAGCAAATGATCTAAAGGTGTGGGTCACTTCTTTTTCACAGCAACTCCACAATGGACCCCACTGAAAGGCCCAATCAATCTTCCACAGATCTTGCACCGTCACGCATCCTTTCTCTGGTCGATCAACAGAGCAGTCCGGAGATAGGACCAAAAGTACCCCCAGATATAACGCAAGCGTCTCAATGTCACTGGCACACAAGCCGAGGACACACTTTCTCCGTAGGTTGTCAATAATCATTGATGGAGAAATAGAAGGATCGTGGGTGGACAAATAGTCGACAAAAGATTGAATGAGGGGATGGACTGACACCGTATAAGGTGCCTGGTTCAAAAATAACCTTGTACCACAATCAGACTGCTTTCATGAAATCTACCATGGAGAACTGACCTGAGCGTGCATAGTTGAATGCTTGGGTGTGCCAAATGTGCCTGCGCGCGGGATTCGGACATGATTTCCAATACTTGACACCGCGTTCAGATTTAGACCAATGTAGCCTGAAATATTTTGAAAGGGAAAGATAGGACCATTTATATGTTAGAAAACCCCCTGGCTCTAACCTCACTGCTCAACAAAACAACGTACCGGTTCCCTATTGGTATACTGACTAGGTATCTAACATGACCTATCTGTAGGCCGTGACGTTACTAGGTGCAGCATATCTGGATTTGGCAATACTTTCCAGACCGACCAAAACGGTGGCAAAGATCTTACTCAACGACAGGATGATCATTGAGCGAACATGACCTTCACATGTAGTCTGAGAGCGTCATACTTTATAGCAAGATGACACCGAGACCCTCGCACCTGGGAACTGTGAAGGCTGTATGTTGGTAGACTTGATTGATCAAATAAGTCCATTTCTGAATGGAGGAATATAACGGGGATGTCTTACTAACTGTGGTGTATTTGGTTTAGACCTATACACGTGCGTCCATCTGGTAATTTATGATACTGTATGGCAGGATCGAGGAAGATATATGCATGACACCGTCGCATAGCTTGGGGGGCTTGACTGATGCTTCTCCCAGAGGATAGGCGAGAAATGTATACATAGCTTCCTGGAGGTCATCCGTGCAAACCCGGCTTCTAAGCACAGGGACACACCTATCGCTGACCTGTGTGTCCAAAAGAAATTCTTTGCACAAGATATCTCTGTTTCACATCTCTTGGCAAAGATCTGCTCCCAAATTCCTCCGGTAACTCACGAACAAACAATTATCATACGTGCAATTGACTATGTATACACTTGAATCTGTACAAACTATTTCTCTCCATCTCCAGTGTACCTGGTAATCATGGTTGCAACTGTGAGATGCCGTGTTCATTTGCTACCATAGTCTTTGCCTTTCCCTCGGACTTGATCAGATCCATGCGGTTAGAATTGGCAGCTGCGTCCAGAGAGCAATGTAAAACCTCATTACCGACGACTGACCATGGAAAGTTTCGCGTGAATGTCTCAATTGGTACGCTGCCATCGAATAATCGAAAATAGGGTAAACCACGAATAAAGTCCAAGAGGCCATGCAGGTGAAGCACACGGGTTTCCGCGTCAGAGACACTGAAAAACAGCGTAGTTACATCTTCTTGTTGAGGATAGTCCCAGGCCATGAGGCCACTTGGGATCAAAAGCCTACCATCCTCACAGGTGTGATCAATCTGTTGTTGGCTCAGTAAGGAATGTTCAAACCCCAGCGGGCCACTCGCAAACGCAACGTGGAAATGTTCGCCGGACCCTGTAAGTAGTACAAGCTCCGGTCGGTAGGTTGCGCCAGTTTTGCAGAAGGTAAGACGTGTCCGTGGGAAACCGGCATATACTTGCACCTCCGAAGTGCGCGAAAAAGGTACTGGGACAAAATTGGTTCCTCCATGCATCTCTCCGTGTGGATCCATGTGTGGAACATCCAGGTCACCGGAGATATGTTGTTTATAAACCCAGTCACAAATTCCATCTTCAATGCGGCACTTAAGAACCCTCAGCGGGCTCAGGCTATAGACGAAGTGAAGGTACACATGTGCTATTTTGCTAGTACCGCCATCGCCAGTGCTTTCGTGGAAGAAAGGCGCCCAGTTCTTTTCAGCCTTCTCTCTCTGCTCGCCTTGAATCGTGAGAGGGACTGTGACGCCAGAAAACGGCCTGTGTATCCACATTACACGTGGGTTTCCGGTCTCGTTCATGATCATGTTGAACACGATAATTGGCTCGGTGTCTGCCGCCGGGTCCAAGATCGTCCGGGGGTCCTCCGGTCCAAAATAGCTCCCGCCCTCCCGCCATAGCGCAGGTATGTCGAGGATAGTAGGAAATTGAATTTTTCTCCCTTCCCAAGATATGACATAGCCATCCATATGTTTCCATGCGGCGTCAAACACTTGCGCTCTCAGGAAACTGATTGTTGGCCCGGATGTGCTTGGTCGAGTGAAGGCCACACGGGAAACGACCAAGTAGACTAGCAAGTGAGGTAGCCAGACCCCCGATCCGGCGAACTGAGACCAATGATCTTGATTGAATGCCAGTAGCCCAGGGGGCCGATGAATCATTGGGTGTTTTCTCAACGAGTAAGCAACCTCGCTGGGGTTGTCTGAGAGAGGAAAGCTTTGTTGTATGTCAATTTGACCTGTTTGCCGCGTGCTTTCGCAATCAAGCTTATTGATGTTGCCATGATTGCAGAAGCCCACTAGCTCCATAGTTTCAACCAGAGGCATTAGATACTGCAAACATTTCCATCAGTATCTGTTATTGTTATGGGGATTGTTAATCGACATACTCCCTGTCTTTCGGAGAGAATGGACACTTTGCTTAGCCACCACAATGACAGGAGCCCAATGCCACTCACGAGCACAAGTGAATGCACTTTTTGGGAGCGCAGTGGGTTACAGAACATTATTGTAGCCTGTCAAAATCTGCCTGTTACGGTTTTTTGGATACTTTATTGATAGGCTAGAGATTTTATGGGCATCGAAACCCATCTTTTTCACGAGCTTAAGAATCCAGTTTTGTCGTCACTAGAAGAGACGGTACCGAAGAAAATTTTTCTTATTATAAGAAGTATCACATACGATCCTTTTTTACGCAATTGCGGAATGGACGTTGGAATAATGCAATTATATTGAAACATCGTTCAACAGATATTAGATTTGCGATTTGTCCTGTATCAAAATCCCATGTGGTGTTGACTTTCATGGGCTACAGCCAAAAGGGCGGGTGGCTGCCCTTTTGTTTAGCGGCTGGCTAGGATGAGTCCAACGAGATGATCAACACAGTGAACTTTTGTTCAACAATTTCGACCTCGAGACATACGGTGAGGTGAATTGCTTGAAGTTGGCGCACAAGATAGATGAATCCTGAGCTCTTTTTTTGACTTGTCCCTGGGAACCACAACATGTTGAACAGTGTATAGATTATCAATGTAGAGTGGACATATCGGATACCATCGGCGTTTGCCGGGCACCGGAGAAACCAATTAGCGCTTGATTTCAAAGAAACTACTTTCTAGCTAAGTGACTAGATTTAAGGCCGTCTTTTCCGAGACAATGAAGTCCTTAATTTGTCCCGTATAGTTCCAATTTCCCTCGAAGCTGCACAGTGTTGAACAAGAACATACTCCGTACTAAATCACGCCCACGTTTACGTTCCATATGCTCTAGAATCTTTTAGCCTTCTGAGCTTGTAGCCTTCTCACGACGGTACATGATAGGCCTCATGATAAGATGAAATGAAGGAAAGTTGCTTGAAAAGGCAGACTCAAATGGTCAGGAAGCGATGAAGCAAAATTACGATATCTGTGTCATAAGATATCCCACTTTTCCATTTGAAGAAAGGACTGCATAGTGTGAATATCATAAGGGTCCCGTACCAACGAGCAAACGAACAATCCAGTCATGAAACCTATCCATATATCATGAGACAAATTATGAGCGATGTTAGCCTCAGATCCAATCCGTATGCCACTTACCCAGAAAATTGTGTTGCAATGACCTCTACAGTAAAACCCACTTTCCTTGGTAACCTGGCTATTTATTCCCAATACTTCTTTTCGTGCGGAAGTGTTCAGAACTCCGGAAAATATATCTTGGATTTTGCGTCATGTATTCCAAACTCATTGGAAAATCCATTGACTTAGCTACTATCATAGACAGTCATCTATGCAGACATTGTATGTCCCAACCATTGTCCATACAGAGTGCCATCGCATTCTCGAGAAGCATCAATTTAGCAAATGCCGCCTTGCCGCCTTGAATATCAGGCTTCACTAGGCTGGCGGACCAATCCAATTGCGACTCTCCGACCAACCAATCAAAATTGCGCCTGGCGGTTCGTTGTTGTCCGATCCGACCACATTAGCTGGTTAGGGCCTCACTTTATCGCATTCCTGCTTACTTTTGACTCGCTATTTTAATGTTAAATCTCCCCTGCCAAGATGTGGGTCAGAGCTGCTCGACCACCTTTTTGTCAGGCTTACTGTCAGACAATAAGCATGTTACGCTCCTTCACTCTTCTATTCCTTCGGCTAGCTCAGATAGGATATTCCTAACTTTGCCTGCAACTAGAAACCCATGTAATTTCAGAGTGAGCAACAAGCTTACGGCGGGTCGCGGTTAAATAGAGGCCATGGCCGCTCATATCCAGTTCGTTCTTTATGCGCTACAATCACACTCCTTGAATCTGTTCATTTTCGTTCACATCATTCCTTTAAGTCATTCTTTTCAAGTCATTCCTTTGGATCAAACATTTCAGCACGTGTGTTTACATCATGTTCCGTCGCCTTGCACTTGTTGCCGCTTCGGCGTCGCTGGCCTTTGCTGCCACCATTCCTATGATCCCCCGGGGCACAGGCGCGAGCGTTACCCCTCACGACCAGTACTCGTCCTCAGTTGGCGTCGTCGGCTGCAAGATCGACACCAACCGTGTGGCCTATTGGCCCAGCGCAGTCGACTGCAACGACATCTGCGTCAAAGTCACCCACGAGGGCCGATCCCTCAACCTCCTCAAGATTGACACCTCCGGCGGCGCGTACGACATCTCCTACGACGCTTGGAACTACCTCGGCTTCGGCAAATCTGCGAAGGACGACCCGCAAACTGGAGGAGCTATTTATATGGAGTATGAGGTCGTTGACCCTAGCGAGTGCGCCGATATCATGAACGACGGCACGCTGCCCCTCTTGGCAGCCAACAGCATGGACTTTCTCTCTTCGTGCCTTAGCCAGGCCGACAGCTTTGTCGCCCAAAACCACGTGCTCTACAACATCGCCGACCCTGTCTGCCACTATGGCATCGACGAGATGTGCACCCTCGACCTCTCTGTCAGCAACCAGCCCTCGTGTCCCAGCGGTCTCGGCAGCGCCAATCAGCTGGACCAGCCGGTGTATAACATCCAGTACACAACCGGCGAGGAAGTTGTCGCCTAAGAGTATTCTTCCCTGTCCTGCGGCAAGCTGTCTATCCCTGTCTCAATTTGCATACTCAAATATACTACAATGTTACTACAATGCTCAAGATTGCGCAAAGCATCACAAATTCAAATGCCCGAGAGGCTGCCAGTTGATATTATCCCGGATCAGAAAATGCTCCAAGTCGAATTCCCCGAGCCAGTCATATTCGTAAAAATGTCATCCAACCACAAAGAATCATCGGTCAGAGCCTGATATCCCCAGCACCACCCTGATTCAAGGAAGATGAATGGGTGTCAAGGACAGAGCAAAGCTCGCGGACATCCTCGCCTTTGCGTTGCTGATGTAGAAGAATGAAAAAGTATGCCCTATCAGACCCCTCTTCTATGACAGCGCCACGCCAGACATGCCTCACCTGCTTCAACACCGACAATACATCGTGCAGCATTTTGAGGGATTCTTAATTGTCAACCACGAGCAGTAGGCAAACGATCCGAAAGAGGGTATTGGCAGCGTGATGCCACGGACAATACTGTTGAGCCGGCAGAGCCCACGAAAGCCGAAACCCAACCGGGCCCAACCCAGAAAGGGGCCGGGCTTTGGGCTCAGCGTATGGGCCCACAGCTCATAAACGGGGGCCGCTAGTTAATTATGCCTAGACTTATATAAGTTATACACTTTCTACTGCGGGGAAATACGTGCCTCTCTAATATGAAAAATATCTCACTTTCTCTCGCCCCATATAATACAGGGATTGTATAAGATTCTTTTTTTTAATACAAACACCCTTTCCACCTGAATGTCCGAAGTGCCACTTTGTATATTGATTATAGCGGCTGTCTGTAATAGCTAATTTAAGAAATTCTCCGTATGATCCGCAACTCTCATATAGGAATACCCAATTCCGCTTTATTTATGCTTTTAATACCAAAAACGTTAATGCAGTCGGATTATAATTAGGCGAACCAGGTGGTAAAAACGTATTAACTGGCTGACCAATATGTACTGAGATAAGAATTACCACTATAGGACCGGCTATATAATTAAGGGAGAGGATTGACTGAAGACATTCAAAAAAGAATACTCACATTAAAAGAGCCTTGCGTTATACCAGTGCAAGGAAGCCATCTATTTAATGTTATGGTAGAATAGATGCTCTATCTTGCTCCACGGCATAAGTCAGCTGCATATCGTGCTTCCTTGCTAATATGGGTGTATCCATAATATCTCCAGTTAGTTTTCTCATTAAAAGTTGGCTCGTCTAGAAATACCAATTCCTACGCAGAGAAACGTCGTATATTATTAAGATATAAGCACCGTAGTGTCTCGCTGTAGTTTAGTTATATCCACTTAATTACCTGGTAGGATTATTCTCGTTTCTTTACTGTTCTTCATATTGTGGAATGATTGATTAAAACACCTCTCTTATAACATAGCTACCAGTCTAATTCTGCCTGCTGTCTCTAACACTTATGAAGAAAATATTTAAATAGTGTATCCTTATCTTCTTTAGAGGGCTTATGGGAACGGCTTAGTGTGCGGAATCTAGGCTTTCAGACGCTTCTATATCGAACTATATTATTCTGATAATGATAGACGATTCGACGATCTATTTCTAATCCCAACGCTTTATAAGATGGTCTCTAACCAAAAACAAAAAGCCGGAAGATCGAGGCCATTATACAAGAAGGCAGGCAACGTTGATGAGCAGCGGGAGGAAGGAGTTCGCGAGAGGTTTGAGACTTCAAACGCGTATTATCAGAATAATCTTGCAAATATGATATATTCTTAGTGTTAGGCTGCGGCAAATCCAAAAATTATCCGCACTAGCATAAAATTCGCTATTTTAACTTATTTTGGCATATTAGCTAACTATGTGACCCTTATACAGCTGACCAAGTAATTTCTCTCTATCAGATCACGAGACTTGGCATGTTTGTACTGTTTTCGGATCCGCTGGATATCCGCGGATATCCAACTTTTTGAAGCCAAAATCCGCATCCAATCCGCGCGGATAGTTGGATATCAGAACCATATCCATATCCGCAATCTGCGGAGCGGGTTTGGATTTTCGCGGATGCTCCCGCTGCCTACTCAGTGTGTTTTGATCAAGGCGATTTTGAGAAAGCCTAACTATATCCAGCATAAAAGTCAGAAGGGAGTACAAGGTGTCCCCATATAGCATTTGCGTTGGATGGTGAATGGCAACACAAGCTTATTGAGAAAGAAAAAAGGCAATGGCAAAAAGGGAGGAAGGCGTAGTATATGATGTCAACCTACCAAACAATCTATAAAATAAATGAAAGAAGAGCATTGGCACAGGATATTATCATATTACCGAGATAACATCTCAGGTAACACATTATTGGCGTCTTGGAATAACTTACTCGATCAAATAACGTCATGCTACATACTAATTCTTGATTATCTCCATTTCCTCTGTTTTTGATCGTCTCTGAAATCTTATAGGATGGTACAGAACCATAGGAGAATGTATCAACATGTAAGGTCACCGGATGGCTGATTTTCGGTTCCTTAAAGTCACGTCACCACGTGTAAACAGGCTAAGGACAAAAGATATAAATAGTGGCGATGCACCCTATATGGCTTTTCACGTTTTATATTTCTGAGTGTGACTGCTTTCTCTTGAAGAAATGGAGATGCGGGATCCTTTTCAACGTCTCAGTTTCGAATGCGCGGGGAATATCCTATTCTATTTAGATCTTCAAAGTGTGGCTCAGTGTGAGCGGGTAAGCATGGGCTGGAGAGTTTTTGTCCACGCCTGGATCGTAATCTCAGGGCTCTCATCCAATTTCCCTGGCATCCAAGCGCGAGATGCGGGTGAAGACACTCTTAAGGTCGTGACAAGATTCAAGAAGCTTGGTAGGCTCTTCTCCATCCTACTAGAGCACTACAACCAACTAACAACAGGACAGCCGCTGTCGATACCAGCCTAGTATCCGGAAAGGCCACCAGCGTCCGGATGATTGAGTCGTCTAATGGCATTATGATAGCCGGGGACTACGCAGCGTGGCAGACAGGCCACACGTTCTACTGGTAACGACTGTCGTTTAAAGACGACGGGTCGCTTTTTCCAGCTAAGCAGCTGCAATCCTCTCCAACTGCAGCCCGCCCTTGCATATCCTTAATTAATTCGGATGGCTATTTTGTACTAGCACGGGAGGATTCAAGGTACCAATCAAGCTCTGTTCCCATTTTCAGTGACTGATGATTTGTACTGTGGAATAGTGTAGATGTCTACTCGCTCGAAGATGGACGGAAAATACATACTATCAAACAGTCAAATGAGCCGAATACCAAAGTCAGGAAACCAGTGATAATGGGAAAACACAAGATTTATTTCGTTACTGAAGACAAGCAATGCGAGCTCACCGCCTGTGATATAAAATCAGGATACCAGCTTTACTGCGTGGTCCTGGGCAAAGACGAAACTTTATTTGACATGGCCACCAGAGAATTTGCTATCCTACATGGTGGCCCATCGAATCTGGAACAACTCGTCGCAATAGAGCGAACACCGAATGCCAGTACCGTACAGGTTATCAACGAGGCTGATGGGGAAATCCTTCAGGAACTAAAGGTCGATCTGTTCGAATGCCCATACATTGCAGTTTCTCCCAGTCGCAAGGAATTCGCACTTATAAGTCACCGCTATGTTGGAGGTTGGAATCAGGAGATCCGGAGTCAGAGGTTTTCCCCTGGGCCAGACCACGTATTCCACACGAGATGTATCGAGCATTTTCCCATACCGAGCCCCACGTTTTATTATTGGCAGCGGGAGCTCGGAAAGCAGGCGTGTGACCCCTTTAGATACCTTGTCGCTTGGTTGAATGCTGACCCTGCAATCCCCGAGATACGCAGAGTGGGCGCGGCCGTGCCTCTTGGCGCTCAGTCGGATTTTCCCCCATATCTCTCCAGGTGCGAAGCTGCGAGGGCGTTTAGGGACAGCTCTCAGGAGAAATTTCGACAGGAGATCACGCTTCCGCCGCGCCATGCGCATCACAAGGCTCGCCGCCCGTTTGTTCCAGATGATCGCTACGGCCCGGGAGAGATGCGGTTCGTGGATGGTGATAGGCTTGTTTATCGCACTATGCGTAATGCTCACCCTGATGTATACATTGTTTTCGATTTTGGACTGAGAATGCGTCACAAGGAGAAGGGCGGCTAGGGGTTTGCTTGTGGACATGATGAATTAATTTCCTAAAGGACCTAGCTACACCGGGAACTCCGTACCCTTGAATCAAGGGCCTTGATTAGATTTGCATATTTGTCACAGGTCATTAAGAGCAATATATTCACTACTAAGTTTGGATTCTGCGTGTTTTTGTTATCTCCAAATTGAAACTTGAGTCATTAGTGGCTAAAACCCAGTTGCATTATATGCTACTATTATAGAGCTGCTATAGTTTACTAGTTAGTTATATGATCATATGAAACGATTGAAGGTCTTCATTCATTCTAATCTACTGCAAAAAGAAGCCATATTTATGCAATTTCAGGGGCTTCAGATATACAATAAAGGGCTTGATCATACGATTCAAGCTCTATAATCGTACGATCAATATTGATCGATTGCTTAATCGGTTGAGCAAGGTGATGAAGTAATTGCTTAGTCAGTTCCGCGGCCACAGAAGGAGAGTGCTCTTGTCATTTCTCATTCACCGAGATTGATCAAGGGCCTAAACAAGAGGATATACTGATGGAGACTGCCTCCTAGAATCGGTCAGAAACGCTTGAATTCTCTATGTAGATGTCTGGCAGCTATCTGAAGTATGCAACTGCCCACTGTGGGTCAGCTGATGAGCTAATCTACATGTAGCCTAGCGCCGCAGCCAGAATCGGCAGGCTCCAACATATACTAAACCAGGTGATGCCTCGTCCGACAAGCAATACGATTCTGTGCTGAGACCAGTGAGTTGGGATACATGTCTTGATCCCTCACGTCGCTGCCCTACGATGAACCCAACAAAAGGGCGGGGCAGTTCCAAGTCACCTTTATCTATTATACCCAGCGCTTACTGACATAACCGACATCTTTAGAGGCATTCAATCAATATGAGTACTATCGAGGAAAGGCTCCGGTTATCTGGCGTCGCTGTTGTTGGTGAAATACCCTCGAGTCTTATAGAGAATGTACAGAACCATCTCGACACAAGAAGAGTTGTCCATTCAGGTATCCGCCAAACATATCTTGAGTGGGATTCTGATTGCACTGCTATCGAAGGATATTTTGACTCTGTACGTGAAGCCAACACCTCTCATGGCATAACATCTCATTTTTTATCAAGACGATCAAACCGCGGGTGGGAATGCTGCAGCGCAAAACGTGTACCAATCACTTGTTTGTACGGTTTCACGGATGTCAAGAACAAACAGAGATTTACAAACCTCAAACCGGCCCTGGAAAGTATACGGTTTTGATTGTCGTGAACCCAGGTCCCGGATTCCCCTTATTGTGTGATGGAACCCATGGATCAGAGGGAAATAAACTGTTCACTTTGAGGAACATTACGCAGATACCCGATGAGAGAGGAGTAGTGGTTCTATTTGAAGCAAGCATCGTACGTAAAGAGCCTGTGGTCAAAGGCAATGGTGGATCTTGCATTTTGTTGGCTTATCAGGAATAAATTGTGCTACACTGGCAGTAACACTAAGGATAGGTAGTCCGGATGTGCAAATACTGAGTGTTTTTCTCTCATACGTGGGTACAATGGCACTCATGAAAAGAATAACTAAACAACGATACCGAGATGTATTGTTCCTGGGCTCGCCAGCTGCAATATGCCCCAGATTCCAGTTTGGATTAAGACCCCTACACGCTTGACTATTTGCCGGGTACTCTTCATTATCCCTACTGAACCTGCCTTTGTTACTGTAGGTGCTGTGCTAGTGGTTAAAATAATATATAGTGGTTTTTTCACTTTCCTTTTCCGCAGGGCGAGTTTCAACAAAGTGTGGCCCGCAAATAGATTCACTGCAACTTATTTCTTATCTATATTTTTAACAAAGCAAAGTTGATGGGGCGTATCATTGCGCGTGCTAATGGAGCAAGAACATTATCGCCCTACCGTGTACACCCAGGAAAATGAAAGGCTATCCTACGCGCGTTTCCGTGCGAAGGGCTTCTCAGGATCTCCTTTTTGACACCTGCAGAGAACGGCACGTCCGGTATATCGTAACCTGATCCTGATAAATTGGGCATGACTTGTCATGATATGTTTAAACCCAAGCTTGCAACTGCCCGGGCCCATGGACGGCTCACACGGTGACCAATACTTCGTCAAGGAAGTCCCGTACAGTGCATATGCAAACTGTCCAGAACCCAGCATCATGGACAGGAACCATGAAATCCCGGTTCAAATACTAAAGAATACTTTACCCGATGACGGCCATTCACAGGCATTGGTTCTTTTCCACAACCCAATGGCATCCTCTGTGAACTTACCAACCAAGTCCAGAGACAATGCTCAGACAGATCAATTTCGTCAGCGGCCAGCGGCTGACGGTCAAAATAGTCCTACCGGCTGCTGGACTCCCTCTATCAGTGAAAAAACAGTGGGGCCGGTGAGCAACCCCCCTTTCACCCCTGGAGGCGACATGACGAGCAATGAGCACATGAAGCGCTCCATGGACCACTTTGTGGCCGAACTGTTGCATCTATTATCTACTAGCCAAGCAAATATAGGATCATTGTCCAAAGGCGGCAACAAGCACGGGCGGCGTGCCCGACGCACGGCTCGGTTGAGAGAGGACGGTGGTTGTGCGATCGCAAAATCCACGGCAGCCCGGTTGTACGATCGGACACGTCAGGCTGGCATTGCTTTTTTTCAACGACAGCTCCAAGCAATTCAACGCTGTCTGGACGAGGAAGCCGCGATGGCGCATGGAGTGATTGACGATACCACGCTCCTGCGTGCAATTGCGCAGAGGCATCCGAGCTATGCCAAGCCGATCCGGGTGATTGGCCTGCTCCAGCAACATCTGCCTCATGATTTTCGATGGTCAACGGTCTTGAAGGATCGTCGAGCGTTGGTGCATGCTGTCTTGAAGATGGCGAGGAATTGGTTATCTCGGGACTATTCTTAGGGTGACAGACAATAAGTTCGCTGCGGACCAAGTCAATTGTGTAGTTTTTTTTTTTTTTTTTGCGCGCGAGCAGACGTTATAAATATTAGACAATTTGTATAGATCATGTAAAATCTCGTGTTACTTAGTTTTATCCGGTGCTGCCGTGACGTGCCTGGGCAGCCACAGAGCCACTCCCGCCCATGCAGCTGTTGCCCTGATAGGGTAAGAAGACAAGAAGGCGATCATGAAGCCTCTCATTGCACTGTGGTTCGCTCCATAACTGTTCTCCAGTACAGTGGAATGGAAACGTCAGGGCGGTTCTGAGCGCTACCAGCTTTACCCGGATGGCCAGATTGACTACGCTGGGTTCACCGGTCCATGGCCTCTTTGCCCTTCTTCCTCAGAACACAAGGCCATCAACCCGCGTATACAGGGGATTGTTGGTCAAAATCTGGGCACTAGGTGGCCTTATCCCTGCACCACAGAGCCGCAGCTATGGATGGCAGCGGAGCGGGTTGGGCGTCGGCCATGGCGACAATATCATCATCGCCAGCAGACCACCGCTGTTGTCCAGACCGCAACTAGCCCCGAAGGCATTAGACGGTCGTGAACGATTCCCTCACGGACCATTGGGGCGAAAGGGAGGGGCTTTGCCGTCAATTGAGGATAGACGCTCATCTCGAGCGCCCCAGGACCACCTCAGAGGCAGATAAATACTACGCTCCTAAAACGCCTTGGCCGGGAAACGGCTACGTGGGGTGGACAATTGGTGGGAAGTAGAAGAGCGTCGCGTCCCATGACATACGGTATAGTCTGTCCATAGATCAAGATAAGACGGCGCTACATATGGAAACGCCGGGCCTGCTACTGTATACTTGGAAACCCATTTCATACATGACCAAGTAGCACCTGATGATGTGTTGTCCCTAGACCCACCTCATGGAAGGGCCTCCGATCCGAGGAACATTCCATTGCCTTTTCCATTCAAACTCCGCACATGCTTCCCGCTCGAGCGCTTGCTGCAGGGCGCTGCGAAGCCGCTGGTTTGCTCGTCGAACGCGCGCGTTGCCCTCCGGGCTGGTCTCTGGCTCGAACTCGTATTGCAAAATCAGCTCTTGAGATACATCGACGGCGACCGCGGACAAATCCTCCAGGATTTCCAGACAGGTTTCAAAGAAGCGATTCTCGTGATCCTGACATTGCCACTGTCGCTTCTTTTCGACGATGGTCTCTGGTAACGAGAGTCGCCGGTTGGCTTTGGCACACTGCAACCCTGCCCGGGTGGTTTCCAGCGCGATGGTGGATCCGCGAGCCAGGTATATTTGGTGATCGAGCGGTTGAATGTCGGGCAGATCATGCAGGGTTGGACTAGCCGATGGCTGCGCAAGCTTCGGTGTATGGGGTGGTCGGCTGTAAATACTAGACGCATCATCGTCGGCACTACATGACCCATGCAGCGACATTATGACGCAGAATCATTGACCGAGCCACTCGAATATTCCACTGCATCGGTTCTTCCTGCGGAATGAGAACAGAGGCGCTCCTCTATTTATTCTTTCCACTCTCATCAACCGGTACGTGTTTGCGCCCGGGGACAGCGCAGGGCTTCCTATCCTATTTACAAAGGTGAGGGCCGTTTTTAGAAAGGACATATAGAGCGGGGACCATTTCATATCGCTGCCTTCAATGGGAGCAGCTTCAACGCGGGCGCTTTTGCGACTGCAGCAAGCAGGCAAGAAACAATTGTTCGAGCTCCTATACGGCCAGCAGTTTTGTGTACCGTAGAATCCACAATTATGAGTGGCAGATCGGCCACATGAACCCATTCTATAGTACCAAGGCACAGGAAATAACTACCGTATAATAAGCAGAATGGCGAATGGCAATGAGGCGTAAGTTCGATCATTCCAACCAGATACTTGGATTCATCGCCAGGCAAGACGGGCACTTAGCACTTGGCCGTTACTGCTCTGCAAGAAGACCGAGACAAGCTCATGTGGGCTGTGTTAAGCTTGATGTGGGCAATGGCCATAGCTGTGCGATCTGTCCGCCTCATTCTGTGAAGCTTCGGCTAAACGACTATAGGTGTCGGGCCTTGCTATCCACCGGGGGAATGAAGCACGGAGTGTATTGGTATGTGCGAAGTCATGGAAGCCCCGGGAATAGCCAACGCCGTATTACTGACGATGTCCAAGGAGACCCGGCCCATCAATCCCACAGCGGTCAACCCGACACTGTCAACCCTTCTGCGGGGCATGGTATGTGACGCCCCGGTCAAACTTGCACTTCTGGAAGATGCGTATGCTAAGACGCGACCTAGAAGGATCTACGATGTTGCTGAGCCGAAGGCGTACTGTAGCTATTGACCAATTCAGGGGTTACCTGAATAACTAGTAGGAGGAATTATACGGAATAGGCCCTTGTCTAGCGCATGCGCCAGAAAGCTACTTTAGGAGACAATTTCCTTACTACGCCCCTCGTTATCTTCCTACTTTCTCATCCGCTGCCTTCAACTCGGACGTGACTTAGTATGAGCCGTTCAACTGAGAAGCCTTACCCTTGCGACCATTCTCAGAAACATAACGATGATATACCCGATTCGCCTCTGGGGCATTCCACTGCCTTGGACTTGATGAGTACCAAGACAAAACATTGGACAGACGTAGGGAAATTCCCAGTCGTTTTTGTCAAGAGTGGCACTAATATATTAGAAGACAATATGTTCGACTAAATCTGATGACAGAATGGATCGACCAAGACCGCTGCCCTCACCGAAGATGATTCTCTATTCTCAGCCTCCAGCAGTTATACTTAATCGAGTGAAAGCCAAGGTTGACAATTCGCTCGTCGTGCTCCCTGATCCTTCACCTGAGTCACGTGGTACAGAGGCACCCGAAATGTCCTTCTACCTTTGACATGGACAAATTGTTTTCCAAACCCTAACCTAAAACGAATCAAGCTAGTGCCAAGGAGAATGGGTACGGATGTGAAAAATAAGTTTCGTATCGAACATGTAACGTCACTGAACACTTGGTATTCCGTACGTCACGGCAGCGAACCAGTCTGGGCACCGCCTTTCTAGATGGACATATCTTGACTCTCGATTTTGGTCCTGCTGTAAGTTGTTTCCCGACAATTGAGGGCTGCAATGACCGATTTAGAAGATCCAATAGAAATGCGATGCTTATTCAAGCGTTTATGTTTGAAGAATAACCAGCAGGCCACTGTCTAATACTAAAGCTAGTACGATGCATTATTCAAGTAATGCACGGCTTGGCGTACTTGGTAAGAAAAGACATAGTACGGGAAGACGGTAGAGGAAGTCAGATAATTAACATGACATCAGCAACACCGATTAGTTAACTAGTACTTAAGCCCGGTGATGATTATTGAAAGAAATGGTATTGCGCAGTAAAGGTATGCTTGAAATGTCTTCAATTTATTGTTCTTGTTGCTTATTTCTTCTTGTCTTCTTAGTTCTTGGTTATCTACTGCATACAGCGATATGGAGGCCATATTTATACTTTTACTGATCATCTCAAGGTCCTGAATGATCCGAATGCCTCCTTTGTATGAAAGGAATGATCCCATTGCGGGCCTGCGGAATAATATGATCTCCGGTATGCGGTGGAAATACTGCAATATTACCGTGATCTTCCACAATGATTTAGAATATTCTGGAATTCCAGAGTGACAAATTCACCAAGTATACTATATAAACAACGGGCCCCAACCCCCATTTTTACGGAGATATTAGAAAATCCAGAGAGTGGATGAGATAGTCGGGAAACATCTGAAAAAATGACGCGCAGAACAGGATAGAATTCGCTAAGTTAACCATAAGAATGTCAAGCGCCCTGATCCATGACCAAGAACAACATTGTTCCTATTGATAGCCGCACATGTCGCCCGATAGTCTGGAGGAAGCCAGATCAAACGCTGCCCGTTGTGAATCACCCATTTCTCACCTACAAATATTTCATTTTCTTGCTGTTGAATGAAATCAGAAGTTTGATAGTTTAAAGAAAGTAAACCGCGGTCAGACTTGAGACAGCCATTGTCCGAGAATGACAAGGTAGTGAGTGTTATATCAAGATGATGTTTATCCTTTTCGAGTCCGGTGGCTGCATCCCAGAGCCGCACGGTCCGATCATATGAAGCGGACGCGACCGTCTGCCCGTCTGGAGAGAAGGCGACTGCGTGGACTGAATCCCTATGGCCCTGCAGGGTCCGACGTTCGACTCCGGTGGCTGCATCCCAGAGCCGCACGGTCTCATCACCTGAAGCGGACGCGACCGTCTGCCCGTCTGGAGAGAAGGCGACTGCGAGGACCCAACGCCTATGGCCCTGCAGGGTCCGACGTTCGACTCCGGTGGCTGTATCCCAGAGCCGCACGGTCCGATCATATGAAGCGGACGCGACCGTCTGCCCGTCTGGAGAGAAGGCGACCGCATTAACCCAATCCCTATGGCCTTGCAGGGTATGACGTTCGACTCCGGTGGCTGCATCCCAGAGCCGCACGGTTTTATCACCTAATGCGGACGCGACCGTCTGCCCGTCTGGAGAGAAGTTAACCGAAAACCTATGGCCTTGCAGGGTATGACGTTCGACTCCGGTGGCTGCATCCCAGAGCCGCACGGTCTTATCATCTGAAGCGGACGCGACCGTCTGCCCGTTTGGAGAGAAGGCGACCGCGTTAACCTGATCCCTATGGCCTTGCAGGGTATGACGTTCGACTCCGGTGGCTGCATCCCAGAGCCGCACGGTCTTATCATCTGAAGCGGACGCGACCATCTGCCCGTTTGGAGAGAAGGCGACCGCGTTAACCCGATCCCTATGGCCTTGCAGGGTACGACGTTCGACTCCGGTGGCTGCATCCCAGAGCCGCACGGTCTTATCAGCTGAAGCGGACGCGACCGTCTGCCCATTTGGAGAGAAGGCGACCGCGTTAACCGAAAACCTATGGCCTTGCAGGGTACGACGTTGGACTCCGGTGGCTGCATCCCAGAGCCGCACGGTCTTATCATCTGAAGCGGACGCGACTGTCTGCCCGTTTGGAGAGAAGGCGACCGCGTTAACCCGATCCCTATGGCCTTGCAGGGTACGACGTTCGACTCCGGTGGCTGCATCCCAGAGCCGCACGGTCTTATCATCTGAAGCGGACGCGACCGTCTGCCCGTCTGGAGAGAAGGCGACCGCATTAACCCAATCCCTATGGCCTTGCAGGGTATGACGTTCGACTCCGGTGGCTGCATCCCAGAGCCGCACGGTCTTATCACCTGATGCGGACGCGACTGTCTGCCCGTTTGGAGAGAAGGCGACCGCGTTAACCCGATCCCTATGGCCTTGCAGGGTACGACGTTCGACTCCGGTGGCTGCATCCCAGAGCCGCACGGTCTTATCATCTGATGCGGACGCGACCGTCTGCCCGTTTGGAGAGAAGGCGACCGCGTTAACCCGATCCCTATGGCCTTGCAGGGTACGACGTTCGACTCCGGTGGCTGCATCCCAGAGCCGCACGGTCTTATCATCTGAAGCGGACGCGACCGTCTGCCCGTTTGGAGAGAAGGCGACCGCGTTAACCCGATCCCTATGGCCTTGCAGGGTACGACGTTCGACTCCAGTAGCTGTATCCCAGAGCCGCACGGTCTTATCACCTGAAGCGGACGCGACCGTCTGCCCGTCTGGAGAGAAGGCGACTGCGCTGACCCAGGACCTATGGCCCTCTAGTACCTGCACACATGGATCCCACTCCTCTTGCATAATAAATGCACGATCCAGAAAGTCCAGCCGTTCGCTCCAATAAAGCTTCTTGCTTCCACTAACTTGAGGACAGAAAACAAGTGCAGCGCCGTATGCTTGTAATGGCGCCTCTTGTATGATAAACCCATAGCTAGTAGCAAACCTCTCGAACTCTTTGAATATTGACTGAGGCTGCTTATGACTGGCAGGTAGTTTTAATATCTTCCGTTTAACTAATTTTGACCATATACTCTTCTTGTATGTAGTACCGTTTGAGCTACTTCGAGCCGGAATTTGCTTCTATATTAAGTCAGCTAAATGTTCTTAGCATCAATAGACCACATACCTCCTGTAGATGGACAAGCCTTCTAAGAGCTAAGATTCCATGTCGGATCTCACCAATAAGGCTAAGACTCTCTAGCCAATGAAGAAGATGTTCCCTGAAGAAAGCAGAAGCCACCTTATAATCCTTTGAAATAGACCCGTCATCGGATATCGAAATATCTTCAATAAAATGGTCAATCCAGTATGTGCAACCATATCGCAGATCAAGTAGGGGGTCACGGTCGGGTGGGGGGCTTGCTATCTCGGACGCTGAAACAGCTGGATCACCGAGATCGTAAATGTCGCGTCGTAGTTTGGCCGAAAGGCTGTGCAGGGACTCGCGGACTATTCTGTGGTGTATTGCAGAAGGACTTGAGGGGAAAACTGCAGGAGATACCCTATCATCACTAAGGTAGTCTTTTGCAGATTGATGTACCATATAAATGTGCTTATCCCGGATTGTAAGGAATGATCCGCACATGCTCACAACATTCTCCAAGTCGTCAAAGCTGTATTGTCGCTCATTCCAGCCCGCCAAACAACCCAGTTCACGCACGTGAAGCGGTCGATATACAAGCGTCACAATTGAGAGGACTAATATACATAAGTCGCGATCCAGACCATCAAAACGAAGAATCTGTTGAAGCATTCGATCGTAGAGTGGAATTAAGCCTCGGGGAGTTCTTTCTAGCAGCTCAACCACCGCTGCCGAACGCTGGCACTTCTGCATTTCTTGAACTACCAAGGCCACCCATAAAAATGTGCCATCTGACCTTTGAAGAAGTTGGTCCTTGACCTGCTCCAAGAGAACTTTATTGCGCTGAAGTACAGTTAATTGAGAGGCTCTGTAATTAATATATGCCGCAACAGCATCAGAGATATGATGCGCATTAAGCTCTAGGCTGAGCTTGTCTTTCCTGTTATCAAACTCCAGTGATTGCTCGATATCATCTCTATTACGACTCGAGACAATCCACTTCACTTGAACAGATGAAGTCGACTTCGTCGCGGTAATAAACTGGAGTAACTCGCGAAGACCCGACTCACACTCATCAAGGGCATCGATTAGCAGAAATATCGTGGCGTTTGTTAGGTTCCGAACCATTTTGTCGAAGATCGCAGACAAGCTGTAGAAGATACTCCCACTTTCAAACAGCTTTGGATCGGTGTCATATCTTTCTCGCAAGTGTGAGATCAAATGTGGCTGTTGTCGGATCAGCATGTAGATCAGACTCCGGAGGACACTGGTGGCACTATTCAGTTTAGGATCAGTTGCCTGGCACAGGAAGTAGGCGATTAATTGCGACGGCTGTGACTGAACTTGTTGTGACAGTTCATTGATTATCCCAATCAAAAGCATGGTCTTGCCCTTGCCAGGATCGCCCTTGATCCAAAGCAACTGGCTTTGAGAGTCGCTGTGCCATTTCTGGAATTCAGTATTATCCAAGACCCATCGAAATGAGTCATCCAGTAAACCGCCCTTTGTGGCCTCGATACGTCGTCGCTCAGTTTCTGGATCGGCGACCAGCAAGTCGCGCAGGCAGGAATTATCTTTGTCTGTAAAGTCTTGGACAAGTAAGCCAAATTATTATCAAGCATAATTTAATGGAATGTCGTAACAACTTACCTATTTTGACACCTGCTGATGGTGCGGCAGGCTTTCGAATTATTTCCGCCAACACTGCTTTCGCAAACGCCGCTGCCATTGCCGCTGCATAAGGCTGCCAGTCTTTATTCTTCCGCTCGTCACCATAATCGCAAACCCCCCGAACGATTCCCACCGGGATTTCATTCAAGACGCCCGCAGCTTCCATCTCTAGGCCAATTACATTGTACTTATCCCTCATAGCATCCCGGTCTCGGCGACTTTTCAGCAGCCAATCGCCGGACCCGATCGATCCGTACCATACACGCGTGCGTTCAGCGTCCGGTCGCCGTTGTCGTGAAACTGGTTGATCACCATCAGATAGATAAAGAACGTCGTTTTCCTGCCCAGGGTCTGGAAACTGCGTGGCTGCATCCGCTATATTTCTGTAGTAGCCCAATATCGCTTGGGTGTCTCGCTTTTCCGCCTTAAGTTTACCGATTGCGGAACCCACAATGCGTTGTGTTTGAGGTAGGGAATGTCCGTTGCACAGCAACTCAAAGTCACCGCCTCCCTTCTGTTTCCCCAATCCGTAAGGTACAATTGCTGGGGGATCTCCGCTAGGAGGAGAATACGCCACAATAACATCGCCTAATCGAATATCGCAAGGGGGCGAGGATGAGAGGTTCGGGAGACCCGCAGCAACACCCACGAGAAGCCCAAACCATAGGTTTGGAAAAAACCTTTTAATGTGGCTTGCGAGAGACGCTGCAGAGTTTGTGCCGTACCGTTGGCCGGCAGCAAACGTGGCAATCACGACATTATGTCCGTGGATCTCACCCGCGTGAAACAAATAGTCATCGCCAGGACCGACAGGAAATCCTCCCAAGTGCACCTTATCCAGCATATGCCTGGCAGCCCGTACCTCGGGCTCGAGTGGAGCGATCCACGCAACGGTATAGAGGTTCGGGTCGAGGGTGGGCATTGTGGGCTCAGCTTGGCAATGAGCCGGCTGCGCACTGGACGAACTCAGGAGGGCCTAGGAGGAGAGGAACATAAAGTGGCGGTGCCCGTGTGGAGGTATACACTTTTAGTTGGCTGCTAATTGCAAAGTGGTCTATGAATCAAAAGCAGTCATAATGAGTTTAAAATACTGAAAAGAGTTGGGATGCTCCCGACACTCACTCAGGCTGATGTTGACGTGGCACAGGTGCTTCAGCTGCCTTAGCGTGCTGCACGAGACATGTCGCTTAACTCTGCGCCCATGGCCAGCGATCGATCCACAATCTGTTGGCCATGGGCAAATACTACTTGCAAATACCGCTTTCGAGGGGTAAGCACTTAGGTTCGATCGATGTCCTCAAAGTTAGGTGGGGAATAATCCATTCTCCAGATGGAAAAATAACGGCCCGATACCTTTGGTGTTTGACTGGTTGCTCGTTCTGGTCTCGAAGATTCGATGCAAACAAGTCAAACACAACTCAGTGGTGCCTTCTCGAACCGGAGATCTGTCAACATGTTGACCTTCTCGTGCATCTCATAACCAGCTGCTGCATACTGTACCTGAGGCTCTTGCAACCTGACAGGTACAGCAGAATCTGTGGTATCTCCCCTTGGCTTCGCAAACTCTCCCCTGCTTATACTCTTCCCTGCTTATGATGATGCTAGCCTTATGTTGCTGGACGCCTTGCTAGGCATCAATAGGTTCAATGCTGACGTCTCATACTCGTCGAAGTTAGGTTGTAGTCCCTGCATCCCTTGGCGATGACGGATAACCTCTTTATCTATGATGCCTTTCAGCCCGGAGAATCATGGGACGACGATTCTCGGTACGCCCCCACCCCAGGTAACTTCGGCCGTTCCACCGTATACTCTCCTAGCCCCTCCCCGCATCATACCTTGCCACAACCGCCGTTGGATCGACTCGGGTTCCTCCCATTGGCTGAATGGGAGAGAGGAGGCGAATACGATCAGCAGCCACCGCGATACGTCTGCTACACAGTCAAGTGGAAACTGCTGCTCAATAATAAGCCGGTGGGTAATGTGACTGAGAAGGACCTGGTTGTAGCTCCTAGCCGGTTCTGGGAGAAGTATTTAAAAGTGGATTTGGACAATATGGTGCAAACAAAAAGGAAGCCTAACCAACGGGTTCGATCTGAAAGTACAACCATTAAGGTCGAGGTCGATGAACGAAAGCAGTGTCCGCTGGAACAGTTCTATAACGCCACCACCATTGACTGGGCGCCCATCGAAAGACAATTATGTAAATGGAGTAATTTACTTCGCATCGCTAAAAAGCTTACCGTTAGCATTGCCTTTAGCTATAGGCAGGATGACCACGGAAATAATGCATCCCCGGTCAGGAAAGGCGAGAAAAGGGGCCGTGTGTCCGCCACAAATATTATGCTTGCTGAGCGTGATGCATATATTGCTGAAGAAGAAGAGCGAACTGGGCGACCCTCTGCGTGGAACACTGTATATGAGCTCATGCAATGCAACGTCCGCTCATGCCAGTTGAACTCTGACTGGTGCTGGGAAGATCCAAAAGACAGCAAACACTACAAACTCAGAGAGCCACACATCGATCGACTGGTTGATTATGTGGAAAAGGGCGGCAAACTCGAGAGCCATGGTGATGTGCCACACGATATCCGTCGACCTACTTCTGGAGAGTCAGACAGGAAGAAAATCTAAAAAGGATACCACGCCATCTAGTGGATCTTCGTATCACCCAGTGAGCATCAATGTTCTGCCAGCCCAGGAATCGAGGAGCTCCGTGATATCACCATCGCCACCTAGGTCCTCATCTCCCCGCGTTGTTATCTAAGGGGACCAAGTAGTAGCAGTAAAGAATTATTGCAAATGGTTGGAGTCACGGTACAGTGATGAGGCTTACAAAGCTGATTTTCGCCGGGCTCGTGATGCGGTCCTGAAGAGGCACATGGACCTTGAGCTTATCCTCGAGGACCCAAATCTAGGCTTCTTCACTGATGAAGGCATTCAAATAGGGACCGCCCGTCGTTTCATTCGTGATATTACTGAATAGGACAAGCACGTGAAATCTTCATCGCTGCCCGGTTGGACAATGGAGGAACATTCTGATGATCTTCCCTAGATCAAGGCATGTCTTGGTTATATATAGGTGAGTGCCGCTATTTCGTAAGTAGCTCGATCGTTACCGCTATGATGTCTTAACGCCTACGATTGACGTTGACGGCTTACCGGTAGTTACGATATGTGGCCCTAGGTCAGCCCATCAGATTTCAGAAAATCACGTTATGAAATGGATGAATCATCTGCTTTGCCTCTAGAGAGATGTCGGGCCGGCCCCGCATCCATCTATTTATTCTGGTATGTTTAAAGTGGTACTGTATACAAGTAGGAAGATATGACAGGTACATTAGTTGTTAATTAAAGGTCCATCCGTTAGAAACTATATATATTATCATCTAACATCTATAACCCTCGCACCGTACAAGTCTTCGTAACTGTATGGCCCCACACAGGCAGGCTTGATGAATAGCCTGAGGTTGTTCAACTACACTAATACTAGAAATTCGGCTTTAGTAACTGTTCTCATAAATGTAATAGAGCCATGAGCCACAACCGATATAAGAGGCTGACCTACCTCCTTGGTACTCTATTGTTATACCTGCATGTCGGAAGTGGCCCTCCGCGCTCTTCTCTCGTTCGCCAACCGTCTGGACACATTTTCGAAGAAAGGAATGAAAGCCTTGACTAGGATCCTCTGCGAATTTCGGCCAAGCTTTCTTGATATAAGCCTTTAATTCAGCAAAAAATTCTTCGATAGGATTGAAATCTGGCGAGTAAGGTGGCAGATAGAGTAACTTAACTCCTGCGTCAGAGCACAACTGTTGGACACGCTCTGAGCGATGGAAGGATGCATTGTCCATAACTATCACGGATCTTGGCGAGGGGAATCGCCGACAATGTCGAAGAAGCCGCTGGATGAAATTTTCAAAGACCGTAGCGTCAGTCGAACCTTGATAGATGTCGGAGATAACAATACCATCCTGGGCATATGCTGGGAGTATATGGTAACGTTGACCGCGGTAAAATTTAGAAATTTGGACTGGGGTCACACCCAGAGGAGACCAGCCAGTACGTCGAAATCCTACACGTTTATCACAGCCAGACTCATCAACGAAAACAAGCTGATCGGACTGAAACTGTGACAGCTTATGCTGGTAGAAAGCTCTTAGTTGAGGGTTCTGTTCTTTTGCTTTCTGTCGCGCTTGCTTCTTTGTCCAACCTTGCCGGGCAAGGGCTCTTTGAATGCTGGATGCTGACGGAAGGATACTGAATTCATCCCATAGGAAGACAGCCATTTCTTCGATATAGAGGCCTGGCTTTTCAGTAAGATGGTCACATAACGCCTCGAGCATTACAGGAGTGATGCTTGATGGCCGGCCGGCGCGGACAAGATGAGGTCTGGCGGTGCCGTACAGGCGCAGCTTTCTGCGGAGCTCGGTGACAGACCGCTCGCTACATTTGGCGATCTGGGCAATCTGTGTATTAGTTAGCCTTTTGCTACGTATCATATGAATAGCCATTCTATGTTGTCGAGGGTCGAGATGCCGTGCCATTTCGTTTGTCGGTTGTAAGGTGGAAAGCATACGTGGCCTTGCGAATTGGGACGGCATAAAATCTAGGCGGAGTGTATTGTCGGCCGTCACGGTATGGTTTGGTCATTATGCGTGTTAGTTTGGTGTGGTATCATTCACGGCTTATACGGGCCGGAAATACACGCTAACCTACTTTGGATCGAATAGGGCTTCGGAATTAGGGTTCAAAAACAAGTCTGTCTGTGCAAAACATCGAAGCATATTTCGGGTCGGACTGTACCATCATTGCGATAGACGGCAAGGAGGACTTGGTACAACTTGTGACAAACCAGCTTCCTATTGAACTAGGCCAATGTTATCAGACGAAAATATTTGAACAACCTATGGTTTCAGATGATGACCATAGCGAATATTGTTCTCATGCAGCTGAGCAGTGGCGGAATACCTCGAACAATTTGGTTCATTTTGTCAAAAAAGATGGCTTCAAAATTGCACCTGGTCTCCCGCAGTCATTCGCACCTATTCCTGTAGCTGTGGTTTGCCGATACCAGGTCTACGCCGCCGATCCCACTTACGAGCTACCGGAGGACCAGAAAGATGCTCTATCTCAGATTTCTCAAATTTGGAGGTCATATATTAAACCTGATATTTTAATATTTATCGGCGATTACGGAGCCCCTGAACACGAGATGTGTATCTATAATGAAGGCGGGCAAAAGGTACTGGTATGCTCGACTACGGCTTTTGGAAGTTTCAAATGGCCTAGTGATGTTGATCAATTATGCCATGAGTTGCGTTCGCTTCTTAAGGAGAGGTATACGATATGCTCTGGGTCAAGGCTTTCCGGACTGAGGCAAGAGGAAGGCATCGAGAGGGGTTGTCGTCTTTATATGTGAATGTCTAACATTTATGTACTCTTATAGAGTAGGAAATAATCGGGATCTTGACAAATCGACCGAGTCTTTAGAAGATTATCATAAGGGATCTTTGGGAATTATCATGAAGGTATTAATCAACGTAACCTTAATCTTTAAAAAACACTTATCTATCTTAGTGTTGCTCTTATCCTCCTAAACCACTGTCTCCTTGCGTTTGCCCCTAACCGTTTTTCAGGGAGTAAGAGGCCCGTGGACGAGAAACATCACAAAGCAGCGGAGAACGCACACACAAAGCCGAAACCAGTGCCATCCCCCTAGACCCATCTCTTCATTCTATTAAGCATAGCCCAGGCTATATAATTGTTATTTACTATAGAATTGTCATAGATACATATTAAAGATGCTACAGCTAACTTCAACAAGCAGATGTGTTTACCCTGGCTTTGATAGTAACACTGAGATGTCTTGCTCTCTTAGCACCGGAATTTGAGTTTTTAACATCCCACATGCACATTCGCCTCTCAGGGCCAGCCTGGCTATTTCCACCGAAAGCATTCGTGAGGCAGTCGACTCCTGTATGATTTTAGTTAAACACAACAGTAAGAAGATGCAGCGGTAAACTTACGTCATAGCATAAAGATAACTATCCCTATCCCCATGCCTTTCCAGCTCGCAACGCTCGAAGAACCCTTTTTGTAGTTCCAGATAAAAGGTAAGTTCTCGAGGTACGATATTGCAGCTGTAACACCATTCATTTCCACGACGTATTCATTGGAATAACAATGAACGCTTTTCTTCAGATGCTCAGCATTATAACATCAGACTATTATTTGCTGCAAGCCATACCACTGTTAAAGAAAGTATCCCGATTAAGGTTGACAGAGAAGCCAGATACAGCGTTAGGAATCCATGGGTCATGGCCTATAATTCGTTCCATGTCTTAAGTTCGTCCAAATAATATATTTTTATCATAATACCACTATCCAGTCGTCACAGATCATCAGTAGGAAACGATAATTTTGTTGATTGATCGCAATTTGCCTTATTAACCCGAGCTATTTCTAGACTGGGCTGAAAATAGCGAACGCCTGCCAGCTGGCAATTATTAAACCCTAAGATCCGTCTAAGCTGGGCTTTCTGCTACTGTAGATAAGTCTGGGCAATGATGACCAACCCGGTTGATCCTGAGACTGGGTAATGCTTATCCTAAGAGCTCTTGAACTCTTGTGACTATGGCCGAGATATTGATGAACATAATTAAGGCTATGATGAACTAATATCACCGAAGATATAAGTTAGGCCAGGTAAGTACGTATATCTTCCTGTGATAAGTGATGAACGAATCGAATAGCAGTGCTAATACTATAGTTATCGAAGACAATTGTGTTGAACGTGAAGAACCAAACAAGAACTATCTAATAAATGGGTGAACGAGTGCCCTAACGCCCTTATATAGTTTCTCCTCAACATAGCCAAAATAGTCCTTTCCCCATAACCTGTCCTGTCCGCTATATTCTCTCCTCGCGTAGCCAACATATTGTATTACTCTACTTCGTTATGTTCGCTATGTTCGTCAAGTGACCTGCCACACCTCTCCTCGGGCCGGTTAGCTGTCACTGCTGAATTAGCCTCCCTCTTGGCAACTGTTGGAGATTACTCCTCGCGAGAGCTTCCTAATGTAGCTTAGCGCTCTCCACAACAGCCCTTAGTTAGATGATCACCTACAATCAATATGACCACTACAATACACGCACAACATCAACAGCAACTTGGTTGTCAGCCTCGTTCTTTGTCTCCTAGCGATAGGTTCGTAACAGCAATCCTATACCGCCAAAATAAAATACGTTTATTATGATGCTCTAGTTCGAAACCTGTTCAATAGGCAGCGCTTGATCAGCTATAGTACGAGTGTACGACATGCGCTTCCTTGTTCAAACTTTTGCATGAGCTGCTGTCTAGCAGCGGTGAGTCTGCTTAAAAGTTGGCGTTGGCGCTCTAACTCGCTTTGCATGCTCTGTACATCACTAGCTTAATGAAGGGTGTAGATGGGAGCGACTGGCCCAATGGTGCCCTATATGTCGCGAGTCTCGCGACCTTGAAAGCCGAGAGCTACATTTTCAACCTTAACTCAATTCAAACACTATGGACTGGAATTCGGGTATAAGGAAGAAAGGAAATAAAGAATCGCTAGGGAGTGGGGAGGTCTATTTATGGCCCCACTACCTACTAA